CGCCCCCCAAATATGGGGCCCTCGCAGCCAAATAAAGGGCTCCGCCCCCCAAATATAGGGCTCTTGCAGAGCTTCACCCCCTAAACAGGGGCCCCCGGCGAGGCTGTGCCCCTCAAAAAAATGGCTCCCGCGAGACACCGCCCCCCAAATATGGGGCTCTCGCAGGGCTTTGCCCCCCAAATAAGGGATCTCCAGATTGTATTATGGGTACCAGAAAAAAAAGTGTGCGGGAAAATTTTTTTCCCGCATAGTGTGCGCAAAGTAGTTACTTTGCGCACACTTTTGGGAAAGCGATCAGCTGATTTAACCGTAAATAAACCTCGCGAACCCTGCTCTTTTGTAGGGTTAAAAAAGTTTGTCCCGAGTCGTGGATCTGATCCATTTTCGGACGAGGTCAGGTTTACTCGATTCATTCTCGAACGCCCTTTGGGAGATTGAGTTAACTCCGGGTTACTTTTCGTAAACGCCTATAGACTGAGTTCGGCTTTGCACTCCACGGAACGGTATGAGCATAGATATCGTGACGTCATACGCCGTCATAGGCCCAACGCAGAAGAGAACGATTCATCGATGACCAGTCTATCATGTCTAGTTCATAGAAAATCGGAATGGCTGTCTCTGTCTCATAATGCTGGTAGCAGATGGATCCATCGATGAATAAAAGAATTCGCCCTTCTTGTACTGCTTTTTTTGCTTCAAGCAGATCTCAGCAGCAGATCGACGTTCGCTCATAAATAACAGCTAAACAGCTTGGCGCATTCAGGAATCAGGATAAAATCAGTAATTTTAAAAAATCGGTTAACCGGTAAATTTACTTCAGTTAACCGGGCCAGTTATTTTTAAGTGAAATATAACCGGTTAACCGAAGAAAGTTTATTTTCCGACGGTTGAACATCCCTAGAACCGAAACCCGAAACAGCAGAACAGCGGCCGGATTATGAACATCCGATACGGAAAGATTCCGAGTCGAAGGTAAACTCGAAGCGTATACGCATCATATTGAACGGAAAAGCGATTACGAACACACGGATCGACTTTAATCAGCTGTTTGCGATCAAAATGGTAGAATGCGAAACCTTTTGCTGGAGGTGACGTCAGCTGCAGTCCTTTATTGTTGCGTTTACTATGTAAATGCATCATTCATCAATAAATGCATGGATTTGATGGGAAACTTGCAGTGTTTTCATGGATTATGAATTATGATTATGAATATCTAAACATTTCAACCATCTATCGCTTTATATTTTGATATTTAGAAATCGAAAAATTAATCATTATAACAACCTTGTGTTTTTTGACAAACAGAGAATCATAATAATTATGAAACATTTGGCCAAGGGTGATTTTTATAGTGTACCTACATAAAAGCCGTGTGCTTTATGGCATAAACTTTCTAATTATACCTTTCTACACGTAGATTTTCTTTTCATATTGTTGGTAAATTTGGCTTATAAATATAATCCATTCTAATTATCGTTCTTAGCTTGCAAAAATTTAAATTAAATGGTGATTTTTTTCCGTTTTGAATATTTATCTTGCAAAGTTTTATACCATTCCTTGTCTTTTTCAGAAAGAATCTCCATGGTGGAATTGGAAATAAAAGTTTCATTTATCAATTTTTTTCTAAATGATTATTTTAATATGTAATTATCCAAATTTTATTTACTTTCAAGAATGTTTAATGCTATTATGCTAGTCATGTCATAATTATAACACTAAAAGCAAATATTTTTTGTTTTTCGAGGCATAGAGGTTAACATTATTGGGAAAAAGTCCATGTGACATGGGAATAAAACTTTTTAATAAACTAATCAATGAATTAAAAATAGACGGAAGAAAAAAAGTTTGAAAGTAAACTGAAAAAGATACTTATTGTGTTGGAACCATATAAGTAGTACACAAGAATATTTGAATGATACATACAACTGGATATAAAATAATGTAATTGTTCTGAGAAGCATTATAGGTATTAGGTCTTTCTTGTCTTGTAACGCTATTTCATTTCATGGTTTATGTGTATGTTACATGTTACCGTAATCTAAAATAAAGTTAAAAATAAGTAAATAAAATAACACTGGACACAACGATTTTTAAAGTCAATTGAAATGCTGTGTTTTAAATAGAAACAATCCGGTCGAGGACTGCGACTGACGGCACGTGACGTCAGTCGCAGTACTCGATTATCGTTATTTTGGCGAACGTGTCTTATGGCCAAGGGCCCGACTCGTCTATCTAGAATGGATGCTCGCATGTATGTAGGAATTATATTTTAATAAAAACCATAGATAGATAAAAACACAAAAAAAAAAAACAAAACGAAGCAAAACGCACCCGTCGCAACCCAATACCTAATGGCATAACAAGAAAAACAAGAACAAAACCAAAACAAGTGTGTGTGCAAGAAGGACAAAAAACGATTCCGTCAACAGCTGTTGTCGGAAGCTACGGAATGGTTCTCGATCCGAGTTCTCTCGCTTCGAGTACGTTCATAACCTCTATTCGGAAAAAAGATGGAGGATTCGCTTCGTATCGGACGTTCGTAATCAGTTTTTCTTTTGCGGACCGGAACCGGAACGGAACCCATATTTCATAGAAATGTCGTAAAGCAAGCAGAACCGGAACCGGAATAAATTAATCGGTTCTTACCGGTATTTTTCGGTTCCAAGATCTCATAAATTAGGCTATTTGATATTTGGCCGTATCGTCGAATGGTAATAAATTTAACACTCTGGCTTCGGAAAGCGCGCATTTCTAAACTCGGCTATGCTACACCAATGATATTACACACTATTGTTCCTCGGCCTCAATAGGCTCCTTGCATGAAATTTTTTTATTGCTGATTTCGATAGTCCTTGAAAAATAAGTCTACACGTGTTTTTTCTTTTTCTTGTTAGTCAAAAATTGACAGAGATACAACGCTTTGAAGTGTCCTTCCGACGTCATAACTTAGGTATAATACGTTGTGAGTTGTGACGTCGCACATGCTCAGTACCTATATCTATATATATAAAACTCAATATTTGTTATAATTTCCGAAATAATCATATTTGGACAAAATAGAAAAACACGCATCGATTTTTTTTCGATTTCCTACAGTTTGCAATAAACAATATTCAATTTAATTTTTCATGCAAGTACCCTATTTTGGGAATCAAGTTCATAGTTCATGGTGTTGCACTGTTGTGACGTCATCAACGGTGTCGTTAACGGTTTGCGCCAGCGATCGTAGTTAAGAATATAGAAAATACGTCATTGGAAAATACATTTATATCAGTGGCGGCTCGTCGTATAAAGCAACTGAGGCCGGGCCTCACATGTAAAAATTACAATAATAAAGTAAAATTTTGAAATAATATTTATTAAATATTTAACGTTTTTCAACTATTTTCAATCATTAAAAGAATCAAACCATCGAATTTTCATTAAAATATAATACTATTTCTTGAATCTAGCGCGCGCTTCTACCTATTTATCCTTATAGGCGCTCAAATCGTTGCCGGACAGCATTAAAATAAAATAGCAATCCCAAAAATTTTGGCCTCATGTGCGTCACAGAACGCCGAAGCGATGCCACGCCACTCCCCACCACAACGCTTCAATTGTAGGTGAGACGATAGCGAATTTTTATAGGCACTGAGGCGCACAATTTTGGGCTTGTTAATAAGAAACCTTGCATCGCTTGCTGCTGCGACAAGTATTTAATTGGTTAATTGGCTCATATTTTTTATTTTGGTCTGTTGCGGGTTAAAAAACTGTTTTTTGGAATTTATTTTGTTAATTTGAAACTCAATATTTGTATTAAAATAAGAATTAGGTAGCTACTGCTGTTGTTTTGCAACTGTAAGAAATGAAAATTTTCATTAGAAATATACAAAAAAAAATATCCGAGATGTTCTTTTGATGAAATTTTGGGTCAAAATTTGGGCGTAACACTTGAAAATTTTGTTTGGGTTTGTTTGGGTTTGTTTGGGTTAACTTGATGGGCCATGGGCCTCACCAGTTTGGATTGTCACGAGCCGCCACTGATTTATATGATGAAAAATATTATTTAATTTCGATTAACAATAGGCAAAAAGGAAGGTGCAAACGAGTTCTAACAAGGGTTGTAGAATGTTACATAAATGTACTGAAACCAAATACATATGCATAGAGCAAAAATCAGCGCAACCATAAACTGTGGTGCAAACACCTTAATAGCGAATTTTATTGGTAGAACGAGTGCAGAAAATTGTTTTTTTGTCTGTTTCTTATAGCGTTTTCTGTTGGTAAAACTCGTGCTGCACTCATGCAAAAATTTTGTTCTGTTGGCAGTTTCCGAGCGGGTTTTTATGTTCTATTGGAAAACCAGGGCAATCAATTATTGCCCTCGTGCAACTTTTCCTGCCAATGTCAGGGCACAACAAAAATGGCGTAAAGTGCCGAAAAGTCTGTGTATAAACAAAACCAAAAAATTAGGGATATCGATATTGATAAAATTCTATATTTTTTATCTTCGTCGACCGACAGCGATGAAGAAGAAGAATGATTAGGTCTGTTTCTGCAGAAATCACAAACCAGTCGGAGTGAATTTCATTGGTTAAAACTAGTTTTCTGACTGTTTCTGACTGTTTTCAACCAATGAAATTTACTCTGACTGGTTTGTGATTTCTGCAGAAACAGACCTATTATTATTATATACAATCACAGGCCTATGATGTATCATTTTCTGTTATTTTAACAGCAACGTTAAAATAGAGACAGAAATAGATGCTGAGCCCTAACACAGACGTTGAAATAACAGGACAGGGGCCTTATTCTCGACTTTCTCTCGAGAGAAAATTTAACTCTGTTGACAATTAAACAGTGCATTAACTGTCAACAATGTCAAATTTTCTACCAAGGTAAAGTCAAGAATAATGCCTCAGGATACATCATAGGCCTGAATATTTGCCAGGGATGATGAGATACCGAAAATTCAAAATTTTATTATTGAAATTGACATAAAAATTAATTTCAACGCAGGTATCATTGGAACTATTTCTGCACATCTCGGGAAACAGCATAATTATGTACTTTACATACAGGAAAAACTTACGTTTTCAACTTTTTCATACACACCATCGTTTTTAATTTTTATTCCATTGAAAATATCTTTAGGTTAGGTTAGGGATCAGGGATCGTTAAATAATAAATTTGAAAAGAATGACAAAACGCGCCAAATTCATGTTGTTTTGGGATTGCACTAAACGTGAACTGATTCAGTGTGCAGAACTCGGACAGCACGAATTTTACCAACAGAAAACGCTATTAAACAAGCTGATAGATAACGTCACGAATATACTTGTGCGCAGCATTGGTGCGCACTAACACTTCAAATAGAATTTACAAAAAAAAATTCAAACTGTAATTAACTCATCGAGAGCACAACAATTTATTATCATTAATAATAATTATTTATTATTAAAGTTATTGCAGATAGGCAGAGAAATCCAATAATAAATAAACCACAAATTACAGATACAATATACATTTTTCTGTTTTATTAGATATTTGTGAAAAACTATACCGGTATGAACCGTTAAGACCGAAATTATTGGTCAGAACAGAATCGAAATATTTCTCTTAGAGCCGGTTCCGTAACGGACTCGATATTTGTCCTGACGCTGTGGACCGGAACCGGAACGGAACGGATATTTCATTTCGGTCCGGCTCCCTGATCCACATATATCGTATCGACTATCATAAACCCTCCTTCAATGCTGAGAAATAGTGGCAACACTGCCAAATTGTCACTTGTGGAAATAAAAGTGACAGATGTTTTGGCGGTAAAATTTTTGAAGCTATGGATGTTTCCGGAAGTGTTTATTTATAAACCATAATTTTTGTTTGGGTTTGGATATCTGAAATAATTTCAATTCAATCCGTAATTCCCTAATTAATAATTATACACATGGTGTAGTGACTATGGTTGATCAGGAGACTGTTTCTGTGTCCAAGGTAAATTTTTACTTCCCAAGAGATTCCACAAATTGAATTATTTTCACAATCTTTCAGGGCATTTTCGTTTTCCGAAACAATTTCAAACGATCCAAGAAATCTTCAAAGAAACAACCATCCAAGCCTAAAAAAGACGAGTTTTCTGATAATTTGTGGTATCTAAAATATACAGATTTGTGGGAGGAACTCAATAATAAATATGAGGTATGCTCAAGAGAGACTTCTCTCAGAAATCACAAACCTATCAGAGCAAATTTCATTGGTTGAAAACAGTCAGAGAACCGATTTTCATCAATCTGACTGGTTTGTAATTTCTGTAAGAACAGATCTTGTTACTCAAGATTTTCCTCAAACATTAATATTTCCAGAAACTAACTTCTGAAATGTTTACTGCAATGACCTCAGACCTCTTAGAATTTGTAAGTATCAGCCATCGAGACCCAGTAGCTGAAATACCTACAGCAGCCCTATTAACTGGTAAATTTTTAAAAAAATATACTATAAAACAAACAATTTCAAATACACATTTTTAGGAATTAACATGCCCGATCATGAAGCTCAATTTATCAATCTAAAAAGGCAAATTAAAACTGACATAACTCCACACGTTGCATTTTTGCACAGCGAAGATTGTACCAGTTTGAAATATCTTATTGAAAATATGATCAATCAATTTATTAAAGATAGTACTGAGGATGACGATGTAAGCAAGCATTTACCAATTTTTCCAGTCTTAGTGTTGTATTTTTTCCAGGATAACGTTAATACAAACAATTTAAAAAAGTCTGATTTAAGTTTGCCTTTATTACAAAGCTGGTACGAACACATGTATCCTGTAAAAACTGAAAAAAACTTGCTAGTTGTCATTGTACCAGATTTTGAAAGCTTCAACACCAAAGTACTGCAAACATTTATCCTTATTATCAGCTCCTATTTACCTAAATTACCTTTCATGTTTGTTTTTGGCATTGCCACTTGTATTAATACACTCCACACATCTTTTCCATATCATGTCACCTCCAAAACCAATGTGAAAGTTTTTAGGTGCGAACCTTCCACTGTGCACTTGAATAAAATGTTGGAAGGTGTATTTTTGAGCCCCTTTTGTCCCTTTCAGCTAGGGGGCAAGGTTTTTGATTTGTTTACAGAGATTTTTTTGTACTATGACTTTTCAGTTAGGAATTTTGTGCAAAATATTAAGTTTGCAATAATGGAACATTTTTGCTATGGAAATGCTATGGCCCTTTGTCAACTTAATAGGCATGATGTAAAGGAAATTTTAGAAGTTTTCACTCATGAGGATTTTGAGAATGTTAGGCATTTAATGTCGTTTAGGTAAAAACCTATAATAATTAAGCAAATAAGGATGTTAATTTTTTTTTTAATAGAAAATTTGTTGAATCTGAGCCCTACGAGAATCAAATACGCTTATTAACAGATGATGAATATTTCAAACTAATAGTTCATGAGAAAATAATAATAATCCAAAGATATATAAGAGGGTTCCATGTAGTTTTGAAATGTCTCTATACGCTTGTGTCAGACTTACCTGGTGCCCCTCTAGGTAAAAATGTAAGCAAATAAAACTTAAAGCCAATTCCAATAAATTTAATCTACACTTTTTCTAGTATAGAGAAATATATGCTTATGCAGTAAGCAAACCCATTGCTCAATCCAATGAATACAGAGAATGCTTGCAACTGCTCAATTTCCAATCCAAAAAGTATTTGTATGATAAATTGATGAGCATCAAGAATATTATTAATGAATTTAGTAAGAAAAAGACACAATTCGGAGATTTTTTAAATGAAATCTGTGATTTAATTGATTTGTTAAATAATCTGGATTCCGAAGCCAACCAGGAAGTTGAAAAAATGGACTCTAATACTGGAATGGGACAAGTAACTGACCGTAAAGCATTTAAAAGTGTAAGTTTTTCTTAATATTTTTATAAGAATAAAAATAATTAATTCTTTTTAGAATTTACTTTCAAGATCACAACAAAAACCAAAGCCTCTAAACAAATATGAGAAAATCCGCATAGACGTTCTATATTGCCTAACTAAGCATTTTCAGTTATTCTTGGTGGAACCTAGCAGGATGCCTTTTTACGAAATATTTTTTTTTGATGATATTTCAATTAAATCGAAAATAATCGGGATGCACAGATCGGCTATTCATAACGCACTCAACGACCCCAACCATTATTTACAGGTAAGAATTATTTTGTGTTTGATTCTACAGGGTATTGCAAATTCATCAAAAGAGGCTAGTGTAAACCCAGTCATTTCAAGGGTTTTTATTTGAAAGTCTTTGAGCTTCAATATCTCGGAATTTGTGAGAGACATTGGATCAAAATTTTCAGGAATTGTAGCTCCTATCAAGCTATAAAAAACTTGTATTGATCCCTATACTTATTCGCCAATTTGTAATGCTCTGTTGGGCCTGTCGAGCACCCTGTATAACAAAAACGTGCAAATTAACCCAAGATTCCTATTAAATTTAAAATGTCTTTTTAGTGCAATTGCTGCGAGATATCCAATAGCCAAACCATCAAAGCCACCATGCCGGATATTTGTATCGCTTACAAGCTGCATTTGGAATGTGGCAAAATGATCAATTTGTATGACTGGCTGCAAGCGTTTCTTTATATTGTGGATCCCAAAGAATCTGATGATTTTGATGACAAATCCAATAAGTTGGTTGATCCAGAATTACAGTATCCTTTAAAATTTAATTGTTGTTTTGATAAAACAATACTTCCTTAATTGGATTACAGAGCGCGATTTACTCAAGCAGTGGCAGAATTGGAATATTTAGGATTTATCAAGAGCTCAAAACGCAAGGCTGATCATGTTGCTCGTTTGACATGGGGTGGTTAGTTTTATTTATTATTAGGTATTGAAAAAAAAATGAAACTAGAAATTTTCATTGAAGCAATTCTTTATGTTTCCTTAACAAATAAAAATAGAATAAATTATTGTTTAGAATTTATCAACCAAATGTAAAATATGTTGTTGTTCTTGATCCCGCCACTCTTTATCACCTTCTTCTCCAAGATTTCCAGCATACTCCCTCATAATATGCCTTATGGTTTTCAAAGATGCGCCTCTCAAATTCAATATCTGCATCACTCTCTGCTTAATACTAGGAGGTCCGGCTGCGCAAACTTCCAACACAATATAGTCTACAAGTTGCAAAGTGAACAAACCACCCTCCAATCGCCTCAAATAATTTTCATCTTCATTTTCTTCTTTGTCATCCAATTCTGCGTCAATGTCTTCAACTTTTTCTAGATATTTGAAGTGCAATTCCAAGAGGCGATCGACTTTTTCGTGGTCGTTTTCTGTAAATTTGCTTATCAGCCTTTGGCGCTGCGGACCTTTGCAGTTTCTCAACATTGAAGCTATAATTGAACAAACATGTTCTTCGTGTCCTTCTTGAGAAAACACTCTTTTTCGATTTTTCTTGGGGGTCTTCATGAATAGCGGAAAAATGGTTCTCAGGCCGAGAATATCAACGAATTTGTTACAATTATCTTTTCCGTGAACACCAGACATGGCATAATCTAAGACTTTAAGTGAACCGTTTCTTGAAGTCTTTTTTTCTCTTAACATCAAGTTCATCAGTTGCAAACCTTCGCCCTTAAGGAATCTGTCTCTGTTTGGGATAACCATTAAAGCACTGCATAGACTAGAGAAAAACAAATTAAAAATTACGAAAATAAAGTTATTATTGCCTACCAATTAAATAAATTTTCCATAAGTTCATGTTCTTCTGCACTAGAAGGATCATGCCTTTTATAAAAAGCAAGCTGTTGCAATAAAGTATCTATACCATCGATTTCCCCCAACAAAGTTCTATTTTTTTCATTATCCTGAAGGATTATAGATAACATTTCACTAGCATACAATTTGTTTGGGTCAAAAGGCGCTTTGAGGCGAAGCCTTTTTAGTAACCAAAGCAGAAAACCTTGTTTCCCAGCTTCCGTGCTTATTTCAGACCTCAATTCTGTCAGATTTTCGATTATTGCTAAAGTGTTGTGCACTCCATCTGATTCTTCTTTCACACTCTCATCTAACCTTTCCAAATTTTGCACTAGCAGTGCAATAACTTGATGCTCTAATAAGGCTTCGATTAACGCTTCAGCACCTTCTTCTGATTCATTGAGAATGTCAACGTCTGTTAATTCTTGTAGAAGCTCTATTGTTGCTACCTAGAGAATATATTGATAATTAACAGCAGAAATTCTTTCCAGTTTAATTTTTTTAACAAAAAAACAACAATTTTAAAGACATTTTGAGTTAACTGAAATTCACTTACAGCAATATCAGTGTTATCGTGAGCTAGCAATTCCAAAAGGCTTGGAATCACTTGTAATTTTACCAGCAAAGAATAGTAGTCGGGCGCAGTAGCCAATACTCGCATTTCTTGTAAAGTTTCGTGCAGTTCCAGTTCGCTTTCCATGAATTTGTCAGGCGAATCAGGAAATTTGATTCTCATTTCGCGATTTCTGAGGGACCTTTTCTCAAAGATCAAGACGATTTTTTTGATTGTAGCTGGATCAACTACTTCACCCTAGAAAGCAATAATTGTGATTGCATTGCTGTAGTAAATTATATGCCCTTACCTCAGTTTCTTCAGTTTCGACATATTTAACAATTTCAGCTCTTTCTTCTTCGCTTATTTGATCAATGAATTGTAAGGAAGGTGTTGGTGAGGGTGCTCTGACCATTTGTTTGGCTTTGGCGCGGGCGATTTTTCGCATTTTTCTAGCTTTTTCTGATTCATTGCCCTTATCTTCGGTCTCAGAGGGGCGTTTCAGGGCTTGTGGAGGCTGAAGTAGAATAATTACAATTATTTTTTTTTATGTTGAGATTTTGCTTCGGATTTTGTAGTCAGGTGATCATTTAGGATCCCCCAAATATTTTAAAAAACGACGTCAGGAAAATTCAAAACTCGACTCTAGACGATCAACTGGGATCCCAGGAAGTTCATGCAGTGATTCATCGTGGTATTTGAAGGCGAAATATATAAAAAAAAGTACTTTAGTATTAAGTACTAGTTTCTTTTTCAATTCGAATCAAGTACCAGTACAAATATAAGTACCGGGTGATTGTCTATATTGTGCACCCACACCTATCTCACCTGCTTGAAAAGATACCCAGAAATGTCAAATGTGAAAGTTCTAGGTAATATCAGAAACAATGCAATTAAGTTTGTTACAAGTATACAGGGTGAATCCTCGGGCGTCTTACAAAAGTGTGGCAAACAAAGTTATACTTTTTTAAATGGAACACCCCGTATATTATTGACCTATCGGATTAGCCTTTCAAACCTAATTCCAAATATACTAGGTTTTTTAGGTTTATTCCTCGTAGTCCAGCCTCTGAATATCACATTTTGAAGAAATAAGCAAGGAAATAAGTAATATGGATTTTTACTTGAATGATTACCTTTATATTTTGCTGGTGGTTTCTATACTTTGTGCTGAAAAAAGTATCCTAAAGATGTTTTCACAGAAATAAAAAAAATTGATAAACAAAAAACTTATAGCCATTTTTCATAATAGGGGAAAATCGGAAATCGCCCTGTATTAATGGTACAATTGAAGATATCGCGATACGGTTTTTGACAATCGACGTTTCTCGAAAATCGATTCCATGACATCTAAGTCAATTTTCCTCTATCTAGTCGGGAAGTATGTTTTTCCTGTTAAAACACTCCAAATTGCAGCACCCTGTACAACAGCTCTGTTTGTTTGCATTTTTATTTACAAAATGATTTGTAATTTACTTCCAAGTCATTTACGAAATTATATGATTCAAAATTTAGATAATCAATGACTATTTTTATTTATTTATTTACATTTTTAACAGGTACTTACAATACAAGAGTCCTTACTCATACCCTAATATCCACTATAGCTAAATTAAAAAGAAACACAAAAATTTAGTCTTATACTAAGTTACACAAAAAATATAAAATATAAAATAGCAATCACAGAGATTTAAAAAAAAAAAAAACTAGTAAAACTTTGGTATCAAAAAAGAGATCTTATGGCAAATGTATTTGTATTAAATAAATCAATATCAGATTCCCTTACCAAGCTGCGAGCCAAACAATCAGTGACTTTGAAATTTTTTAGAAAAAAGTTAAAAAATATACTAATTACCAAAGCTTACTATAGTTTGACTGAATTTTACAATGATAATCATATGCTTTAAATTTTATTTTGTCCATACTGTGTTTCAAATTGACCATGTCTTATTTTTTATTTTTTATGTTAGCTTATAAATTTTCTAATAACCACATATTATTATAAGATTGTACAATATATTAAATTATTTAGGAAATATTGTCACATCCGCATTGTTGTCATTGTTTTTATTGTTCTTATGCTTTTTTTTTGCCTGTTCATACTTTTCCCTGTTCGTACTGTTATGTGAACTTGACTATGCTATGTACCTTTAAATCTTTTATGAAAATTGTTTACACTTTCATCTACCCAAAATTTTTAGTCTTTTGTAGTATTTAGTAAACTTATTGAAGATATTTTATATATGTTAAGTTATAATGTTAATGTTAATGTTAGCTTTAGCCTGCTTTGTCGACAGAATTCTATTCTTGATAATAAAGTACATTATTGATTGATTGATTGATTGTTATATTACTACTGAAAATATTACCTACATAAAATTGTTATAGGTATTTTGAAAATGATTAGCCCAAAAAAATTGACATAAAAACGTGGGATAGGTACACCCTCTATACAAAATCGTTCAGGGGTGCGATTTTCGAAAGCATTCGAGTACATTTCGTACACGAAATTTGACTGACAGCAATGTAAATTAAATGGGGAGCATTCGAAATCGTATCAAATTTCGTATGCGAGAATATTCGAAAATAAGAGCCCAGATTTACAGTTAATGTTCACTACAACTTACAAGCATTTGTTTGTGAAAAAAATATTCCTTTCTCTCGATAATTTTTGTCCAAACCCCAAAAATTAGTTCAGTGATCACCTAATCAAAATCACATATTAAATTTTTCAAACTCCCTGTATCCTCGCCTGTATCTCAAAAACTAATGATAGAATTAATTTGTGCCTATGGACTCTTTTGATCAGGACTTTAGGAAAAACAACATACCAAAATTTCATCAAATTTGACCGGGCACCAAAATCCCATAAGATGTGTGTGTGGTGTTTTAGGAAAAAATAAAAATTTCCTTCCGATTGTTCACCTTCAAGGGGCAAACCACCTAGGAATTTTTTGCCAAAACTGTGGGGAATTTAGAGACATTTGTGGGGAATTTGAAGGAATTCATTCGAAATTAAGAGAAATATGAGAAATTGGGGGAATTTATTGGTTTTAACCTCAGTTTTAACACTGAGCGTAATAAAAATAGAAAAATACATTTCTTATCACAAACAGTTTTGGGGATTTCTAGGCAAATTGTAACAAGCATTTGCAGGAAATTTGCGAGCAGTTTCTAGGAATTTGTAGGGAATTTGTAGGAATTTGCGGTAAGTTTGAGGAATTGTTTGCACAAATTCTGGGGGGTAGTTTGCCCCTTGATTTATTATTATTATTATATTCTAGATAACTTACTTTGTAATCTAACAGCTCTCCTACATCCATAATTTTTGATTTTAATTCAAAATTAGGAAAATTGAAAATATTTATGGTAAATAATTGTTTTTATTTTGTTTGACAGGGGAATAAGGTTAGGTTAGGTTGGCGGAATTCGGAAATGCTGTTCCGATTAACCGTTCATCTCTGTCTTTTTTCAATCGTGTTCATTAAAGAAAGATAAAAGCAAACAAGCCTACCCCGAAAAGGGCAATTGACGTAAAACAACTGTCATATTTGTCAAAAACAATAATAATAAAAATAATTATAAAAAACAAACAAAAATTTTGTGAAAAGGATTCAAGAGCCACGCAGAAAATACACAAAACAAGGTCTGTATTGAACAAAAATAATTATCAATAAATCGTGTCAAAGAACGTCATTCAGCTAAAAATCCAGTCACGCGATTTACAAATAATAATCTATAATAAAATAGATTTGTTTCCGGTGCCAGTCACAGCCAGGGACATTATTTTTTCGATATTCCCAAATTGTTGCCCTCTTTTCTTCATATACAAGTGTTGTTTTAGTATGGTAGACGTTAAAGACGATATGATGAACGAGGACACTGAATCTTATGGAAGTGCCAATGCAGCTGACCCCAAAAACGTACAAGAACTTACACAATATGTAAGTATCATTTTGTTTATTGTTTTTCTAGATGTTTACAATGTTGTAGTAAAAATAGATTATAATTATCTTCTATTTGGGCCCCATTGGCTATTGGGTTTCAGCCTTATTCTTCTACATAATAGACTTATAGCATTTTAACATTAGATTAGGGCTTAAATAGACACCAAGAAACACCATAAAGTTATTTGTATTATTATTCAGGTCCAAAGTCTGCTCCAAACAATCCAAGACAAATTCCAAAATATGTCGGATCAAATTCTGACTCGGATTGATGAAATGGGCACTCGCATAGACGATCTAGAAAAAAACATTGGCGATTTAATGACGCACGCCGGAGTGGAAGGACCAGACAAATAAGATTTTTTTTCTCGCCATATCAAATTTAAGCTGTATTAATTTTTTTTGGGTACTCAACAAGTCAGCAAAATAACTGATTTGTTTGTATTTTTAATATTTATTAAGCACAGAGAATGCCTGATACACTCTTTGTAATAAAGCATTTTTATGCACTCATTTTGTGAAAGTTTTATTAAAAATTAAAATTACAATATAATTAAATTACATTTTTTTAGCACTTCTCCTTACAACAACAGGTGACTTTATATTATCATTAGACTCATCGTCACTATCAATTGAATGCTCCTCACTTTGAGAAGCATCTTCTTCTGTCTCTGAAATACTGCGCCTTATAGAATCCAAATTTTCTTCGCTTTTGTTCAACTTCTCTCTAGAACGACTACTTTTGTTTTGAGAATTCGAAAATATTGCTCCTAGAGATTGACTGGAACGAAATAAGGAGCTTGGAGAATGACGGTGGATTGTTCCAGGCAAACGAAGAGATTTTTTGAATTCCTAAAGCAAAATATGTATGCATTAATACATACATTAATCAATTTAGGCTTAAGTTTAGTTACCAGATCTAGTTTTCCTCTTGCAGATTGAAAGTCCTTCAATAAAACAGCCATATTTATAATATGTAGGTACTTCCAAATTTTTTATAAATTTAAATGAAACATAAAACTTACCTCTAAATCAGATTCTTCATCAATAGCATCTACAAGCGAATAAGCCTTTGTCATTTCTTCTAAGGCCCTTGCATGGTAACCCATTTCAATGCTGATAAAATCTAGCAAAATTGACTTTAAATCGTGAAGCTTTTGTCGTTCGAAAGTGGTCGCTTTTTCTTCAATATTGTGAACCGTTTTAGAGAGTTCAGCAGTTGCTTTAACTAATTCAGTTTCAGCTTGCATCTAAAAATAAGCAATTTTCAATGTCTGAAATTAGATAAAAAATTATACTGACAATTTGCTGTCTATTCCTGGGATTTCTATCTCTAATCCTATCCAACTGACGTTTTCTTTGAACTTCTTTGTCCCTGGCAGCAAAAATATCTTTAATTTCTTCTTTGACTTTTTTGCAAACGTCTTCATATCTTGAAAATTCTCCAACAACTAAAATTATTCAATTTGAAAATACATAATTATTATTGTTTTTGAAATAGTTACCTTTTAATTCTAAGGACTGTGTTCTAGCATCACCGTAATCGCTCAAAGTTGATATGGAATCTGCAAAACTTTCCAATCCAACCGAGAGGGATTTGTTAATGTTTTCGTTGGCTGAAAATGCCAGAACCGTTTTGGAAACTTCGTCGCCTTTGTCGCGGATTCTTGCAGTTTTCCTAGCATATTGTCCAAAAACGTCACATAAATCCGCTAAATGTTTTTCTACCAGCTGGATGCGGTCTTGAAGAAATCGAGCTTCTTCTTCACTATGATAAACAGTAATAAGTTAGTGTAGAAAGCAAAACGACTCTTCAGAGTGAGGCATTTTGAAAAGCTTTTAGAAGAATAATCGAGAAATTTCAGAACCAATTTAGAAAAACTAGAAATATAATTATGAGGTATTTTCCAACTTAATACCAAAGAAAGTTGGAAAATTCACGTTAAATCAAATTTGAAAAATCCTGAAAAATACTTCGGAGTATGAGATCGATTTCAAACTTTTAGGATTTTTTAAATAGAATGTTTTCATCGAACAAGGCAAATTTGAAGTCAATCTGAAGCTCAGAAATAAAATTATGAGGTTTTTTCAAACTCAATACCTACTAAAAAAAGTTGGAAAATTCACGTTAAATCACTTTTGAAAAATCCTGAAAAATACTTCCGAGTATCAGATCGACTTGAAACTTTCAGGATTCATTAACCAGGATGTTTTCATCAAACAGCGTAAATTTGAAGTCAATTTGAAGCTCAGAAATAAAATTATGAGGCTTTTTCCAACTTGATACCAGAAAAAAATTGGAAAATTCACGTTAAATCAACTTTGAAAAACTCTGAAAAATACTTTGGAATATGGAACAAAATTGATTTTCATTTGTAAATTCCCTAACAGCGGTTTTAATGAAATCGAAAAAATGTTGAAAACTGGTTGCTTCAAACCGTAAATAAGATGCAAGTTCAAGGTTCTGTATTCTTATCTGACTCAGTTCTTTGCAATATTTATGCAAAAATAACGTATTTAAACTAAAGTTACACCTGCAACATATTGAAAAATTAAAATGTATACCGCTAATTATTCCTTTGTAATAGTGATTTGTTTTATTAAAGTTATATTTTGTGATTCATGTGATAATATCAGCGTCCCAGTGTACGTGAACCGGATTTCTGAAAAAATTGAAGGCTGTATTAATAAAGACTCATTTCCGAATAAAATCGTAAACTCTATCGATATAGATTGCGAGAGTGCATCTATACAAATTTTACCAGCTAATTTTGTAGCTGATTTGAATCGACTCAATGAGCTTCTAATTCAAGGATGTTCATTGAAAACCATCCAACCAGGAGCCTTTTTTAATCTACCTAAAATCACCGATATGGATTTTTCGGTAAATGAACTGAGAAACATTCAAGCTGGTGTTTTTAGTTTAATACCCGCTATTAAATATATGAATTTGTCCAGGAATTTTATAGTTTTTGTTGAAGATGATGCCTTTAGCCATTTACCCAATTTGGAAGATTTGGATTTGAGCTTCAATCGACTTAAGACTCTTAGTAAATCTTGGTTTACTAATACATTGAGAATTGAGGAGTTTTATGTGAATAATAATGAAATTAGTGCAATACCAGAGAATATGTTTGCTGGATGGCAGCAAATACGTTTAATTAATTTCAATTATAATCAACTAGTTAATATAAGTGACAAGGTATTTAGTGGAACAATAGAATCTATTACTTTTCACCATAATTTGTTAACTTCTATTAATATTGAGGCTTTTTCTGAAGACATTTCAATTGACCAATTTGACATTAGTAATAACTACATTTCCAATCTATCTCCAATGCTTTTTGACCGAATAACAGTCAAAAACTTTCAAATGTATGGCAACCCAATGGAATGTACATGTTTATATAAAATCGAACAAACATTGCAGAAAAAAGGAGTTAATGTTGAAGTGCCAAAACTTAGCAATTCCGATAGAAACTGTCAGAATGTTGATGTTTCAGTGCCGATGTGCGGTGTATCTCTTAAAAATGAATTTTGTAATGCCACAGCAGATGATAATGGAGTTATTAGTGGAGTTACGAAATATTTGAGGGAATTAGGGTTTAGAGATTTAAGAGACTGGTATGAGAAATGTATATAAATTTCGGAAATATGCAGAGCTCAAATTTTGCAATCAAATAATAGGATTTTGGACTTTAGAAAAGTCATGTAAAGTTTGAAAGAATAAAGTACCTACATGAAAATTTTCAGTTTTTGAGATATTGAGAAAAAACATTTCTACAGGCCTTTTGAAAGGGGGGGGGGGCAGTTTAAGTTAAAGTAAGCCAGATGATTGGGTTAGTTTTGGCAGCACATTGTGCAAGATACGGGTTTTCGAAAAAATGGTCCATAAAAATATGAGAATAAGGTGATTTCAAATAGGTAGGTACAGGGTGTTTTTTTATGTATTGACACCCCACCTACAGCCTTTACCTTTACAGGTAAAAGAAAGGTGTAAATACAAAAGTTGTTCTGGCTGAATTTTTAGAAACCATGGTCAAAAACAAAATTTGAATGTCAGAAATGTGAAATTTTGCATGCTTCTAGCTTTTTTCAAATAGGATGCCCTATATTTCATTCTATATTCTTGAAGAGCACAATACCTCGATTCCAAAACTATATAATTTGTCTATATTTGATTGAACAGTCTCTCATATATTCGGCTCCAAAAATTGTACAAATACTATCCTACTACTGATTTTGTGAACCATTCTACTTATACAGGTGAAAGTTGCAACGGCTCAACCAAATATAGACAAACTATATAGTTTTGGAGTCGGGAAATTGTGCTCTTCAAGAATATAGGACCAAATATAAGGCATCCCATTTGAAAAAAGCTGAAAGCATGCAACATTTCACATTTCTGAGATTCAATTTTTATTTCTGACCATGGATTCTAAAAATTTAGCCAATGATACTGTAAAACTTTTGTATTTACACCTTTCATCTACTTGTAAAGGTGAAGGCTGTAGGTGGGGTGTCAATATATAAAAGGACACCCTGTACTTGAACAATAACTTATTATATAAAGTCAGAATTTGTAAGATAGTCCATTTTTTGTCAATTGGCCTTTTAACAGGAATTAGTAATCTTACTTTTCCAAACTAGTAATATACCGGGGTTTTTCAAAACCCGCTCACCCCTATAACTTTTTTATTTTTTCAAATAAACAAATGAAAATTTATAAGATTATGATTATTCACTTTTTGTTAATTTGCCTCTCAACAGGAATTAGTAATGTTACTTTACCAAACTAGTAACATAATGTGACAAGTTATTCAAGTACAAATGAGTGAATTGTTGCGGAACTTATGGGTGGACCTCTGCGGGACGAGCGCAGCGAGTTCCATCTACTCAACAATATGTTTTTCAATTACGATACTAAACTGACTCACTCAAATGTGCGTTATTCTCATTTAAAAATTACACGTTTCAGGTGATTGTCTTATTTAAACAGTTCAACAGTATATTGGTGAGTAGATGGCTGCGGAACTCGCTGCGCTCGTCCCGCAGAGGTCCACCCATAAGTTCCGCAATAATCCACTTATTTGTACAGGGTGTTTTTTTATATATTGACACCCCACCTACAGCCTTCACCTTCACAGGTAGAAGAAAGGTGTAAATACAAAAGTTGTACAATTTTGGCTGAATTTTTAGAAACCATGGTCAGAAACAAAATTTGAATGTCAGAAATGTGAAATTTTGCATGCTTCCAGCTTTTTTCAAATGGGATGCCCTATATTTCATTCTATATTCTTGAAGAGCACAATGCACGGATCTATATTTGATTGAGCAATCTCTCATATATTTGGCTCCAAAAATTGTAAAAATACTATCCTACTACTGATTTTGTGAACCATTCTACCAGGTGAAAGCTGCAGGTAAAATTTGAGGGACTTGGTTTCTCTGATAGTATTTTTAAAGTTTTTAGAACCAAATTTGTTAGAGACGGCTCAACCAAATATAGACAAACTATATAGTTTTTGAATCGGGAAATTGTGTTCTTCAAGAATATAGAACCAAATACATAGTGCATTCCATTTGAAAAAAGCTGAAAGCATGCAATATTTTACATTTCTGACATTCAATTTTTGTTTTTGACCATGGATTTTAAAAATTTAGCCAATATTGTACAACTTTTGTATTTACACCTTTCATCTATCTATAAAGGTACAGGGGGGGTTTATTTGAATTGTGCAATTCAAATTCGTCTGACTAAGTCGCATTATTTAGCATTGAAATACCGGCAAAAATTACGACTTAGTCAGACGTATTTGAATTGCACATTTCAAATAAACCCCCCCAGGCTGTAGGTGGGATGTCAATATATAAAAAAACACCCTGTACATAATCTTATTGATGAATTTTTTTTTTATCTCCCAAGGTCTTGTAATTTAAATAAAATATTTAATCAGGACTTATGTTATTTTCGATACAAGATTTTGTTGAAAATATTTACTCATACTTGAAATATAAAAATGATATCTCTATTTTAAGGCCTAATGGATGCACTGGGCCCCTAAGCAAATATCACAAATCGGCTCCCTTACCCTTGTAATGAAAAAAGATAAGATTTTTTGTACTTGATAATTTGTCGTTTAATAAACCGTTGAACTGATATCAAATAAAATAAAATGATGAATCCAAAGCAACAAAACCAACAATAGTATATTATTTACCTACTACTCAAAAGTCTCTCCTTCTGGGTTTTATTAATGGCAAATTGTTCAATTAAAAGAGCCAATAAGAAGCTGAGAAGAAGAAATTTTGATTATTATCAACTCTGAACTGCTAATGAATAATCGAAATTTTGATTATAATCGGCTCTCGAGCCTTGAATGCCCTTAAAACAATTCTTCAGGGAATCCAGAGTTGATAAAAGTTCAAAATTTGACTATAACCGGCTCTTGATTGGCTCTAGGAAGGTTTTCCAAAGAATCAAGAGCCGGTAATAGTTCAAATTTTGATCATCTGTGGCTCTTGATCCATGGGATAATTTTTTAGAGTCAATTAGAAGCTGCGGGAGAATAAATTTTGATTAAGAGCTGCTAATGATCATTCGAAATTTGGATTATTATCGCCTCTTGAGCTTTGAATGCCCTTAGAGAAATTCTCTTGCGAATTTGGTTGGTAAAAGTTCAAATTTTGACTATAACCGGCTCTTGGAAGGGTTTCCAAAGAATCAAGAGCCGGCAATAGTTCAAATTTTGATTATCTGTGGCTCCTTTATCTATTGGATAATTTTTCTGAAGCAACTAAATACTCAATATTTAATATCTATATTGGAAGCTGTGCTATGTCTGATAGGCAAAATAAAAAGATCGTGCTGACTTATGGAATTTCTCAAATAATTTTTCAATATTTTTAATTTACTAAATGACCTTTCAGTGGTGGCAACTGGAAGGTATCTGCTAGTTAGGTATATCGATCCATATCGGTCAAAAAAATGTTTGTACTAAAGGGACGCATCACTTATAACTGCTTACGCATATCGCTGCCACTGACCTGACTAATCGCAAAACAAATTGGGATACAGACAGCAAAAAACACAAAATCTCTAATGCAAATGATATAATCACTTTTCCATTTATTGATTTAATTGTAAATGAGTCTTCATAAAAAAAAAACAGATAAAATATAATTATGCACTTATATACAAATATTTAAAAAAAAAAGTGTATATAAAAAGGTATAATCTCTGAAGTAAATTAATTAGTTAAATAGGAAAAATATTTACCAATTGCTTTTGGGGCGAAAGGAGTTCAACATTTTTGTTTTCTTTGTTCCTGACAAGATGTGAAATAAAAAGTCAGCCTGAAGTTTTTTGAATACAAACAAACGCAATAATACCAACCTGAGGAAGTCAATCAATTAATCAATACAAAATACAAACATTATATTTTTTCTTTTTGAAAAAGGGCATCCATGCATGAAATCCTATAATTTATTACAAAAATAATGCATGATACAATAATTACACATCTTATCATTTATAAAAATACTTATGAACAATCAAGGAAAAAAACACAATAAAAAAAATTATCCTACGACTACTATTCAATAACTGCAAAAGAGCTACCAGTACAAGCAAAACCGTATTTGACATTTTTCTGGCTTAAAATTTGAGTAGGTACTTTAACATCCTTTTTATCTCCAGTACCACAGCTACCGTGCTCGTTCCAACCCCAAGAATAAAGTTTGTTGTCTTTTGTCAATGCCAAATTATGCTCAGATCCAACACTCAGTTGCTTAACATCGCTTAAAGTAGGTACTTTTTCTGGTTTGTATGGCACATCCCTCTCATCTCCCAGTTGACCATAGGTGGGTCTACCCCAAGTGAAAACTTCACCCGTGACTGTAAGAGCAGCACTGTGAGTCCAACCAGCATATACATCTTGGAGACCTTCATGATGAAAGGCTTCCAAAGGTACAAAACTGCTGCCTACATTAGGATCAACTCCTAATTGGCCAAACTTGTTTTCACCCCAACTAAGTACAGTGCCATTATCCTTTAAGGCCAAAGTATGATGTTGCCCACTAGCTACACTAATAATTTGTTCCATATCAGGAACTCTTGTTATACTCAAATAGTTGTTGTCATCAAAATCATCTCCCAACCCCAATTGCCCTTTGGCTCCAGTGCCAGCAACTAAAAGACCTCCTTCTTTAGTTATCATAGCTGAATGTCTCAAGCCACAGCTGACTTTTTTGAAACCAGTTGCCAATTTTTGAGACACTTGCAGCCGCGAAGGGATTCCTGTACATGTTATACTTTTCGATAGCCCCAATTGAGTAAACTGGTTGTTACCCCAAACAAATTGCTTGCCACATTCGGACACGGCAGCACTAAAATCCCAGCCGCACGATATTTGCACTATTTTGAACTCTTTCAAGATTCCTATCTGGGTGAATCTGAGAGTATCGTCTGACAGACCCAGCTGGCCTTTGGAATTCCAGCCGCAGCAATAAACACGGCCGCTGGTGTCCAAAATGAGCGTGTGCCCCGCACCAGCTGATATCGATACGATATCTTGGGGTTTAAGATCGCTCCCTTTCAGATTTACTTCTTTAGGAGTGATTTCTTCTTCCGACTTATGGCCCAAGCCTAATTGGCCATAGCTGTTGGCGCCCTGGAGGTAATTGGGTAAAATCGTTAAAAAATTAGGGTTTTAGGATTGGAATAACTTACCCAAGCGTACAATGTCATGGTAGAATGGGAAAAAATCGGAGAAAATCCGTTTTGAATGTGAAAAATATGCACGCGTCCCTTTTGCTTTTGTAAGAAAAAATAGCAAGGTTAGGTTGGTTAAAAATGACAAAAAAAAATTGACAAGTTGGAATTTTGGAAAATAAATTTACCAGTTGACTTGGCAGAGGGTTCTATCGAAGTCGAACGAAAATTAAATTGAAATTTGTCCAGCAAATCTGTGGGAAAATTGGAAAACGCACAAAAACATTTAAAATTGACTTCCTAGGGATTTTTGACTTCACTTCAGGGGAAAACGTAGATGTCACAATTTTTCAAGAAAAGTTGACAAGACAACCAACCATACATCGATGTTTATGAAATATCGATACTTATCTTACATCGATGTTGGATTTTTCAATATCGAACATTAACGATATAAAAATAAAAATGATTCACTATTTCGACTGTATAGGTTTACGTTGCCATGGAATAGAAATTGGAAATAGGTGAAAAATTTGCATCTTTTGTGATTTATAATTTACCAGTGAACTTGGAAGGGAGTTTTGAATTTTCATAAACATCAGAAAATTACGAAAACGCACTTTTGAACTTCACAGTAAGGAATTTCAATTTTGACACGAAAATCGATATCGACTTTCAATTTTTGAAATGTATTTTGAAACCAATCAAGTTTTTCTTTTAAAATAGCCCTGTTCGGACGGGTTTGAAAAAAGAACGGTTCTATTTAGAACGTTTCAAAACAATCGCACAGTTTATTATTGAAAGCCAAATACTACCCAAATCGTATCACAGTCAATCTTAAACTTAAAAACTACTAACTAATCTCTTTGTCCGAATAAAGCAGTCTTCTGGAAATTTTAGGCATGGATTCTGTATACCATGGCGAAAGCGGATCGCGACACTGCCCTCCTCCTAAGGTTGATCGTCCCGATCTACTTCACGCCCAAGATATTTCGTCAATCTGTCCAGATGTACACCTTTCATCTCACTCCTGGTGTTGCGCTGAACTCGATAAACCAAATCATTGATTCTCTTGACTATTCTGTAGGATCCTTCCCATGCTGAAGACAATTTCAGCGACACTCCTTTCTTTCTTCTTGGATTTATACAGCCATACTAGATCACCTTCTTGAAATCTGGCTGAATTGGCTTTCAAGTCGTATCTGGTCTTCATTCGGTCACTGGCCAACTGAATATGCTCCCGAGCAAAATCAAAATCATGTATCCCCAGAAGTCGTGCCCTTACTTCGTCGGCTTAATCTCGAATCTATGTTTGTTCTTCTTCAGGTATTCCAAACATCAGATCACAAATTAACCTGATTTCCCTTCCAAAAACGATTCTAACTGGACTTTCACCTGTTAACTCGTGAACAGCTGCTCTGTAAGCCATTAAAAATAGAGGCAACTGTTTGTCCCAATCTCGCTGCCCGCTGGTTCTTTGCGACCACTTTTGTCATAGAGGTTTTATTGAATCGTTCTAGCATGCCATCAGACTGTGGATGTAAAGGTTTTGTCCTTGTCTTACTTACGATGCCCATGATCTCACAAATTTTCTTAAAGATGGCAGATTCGAAGTTTCGTCCCTGATCTGAATGCAACTCTATGGCACACCATGACCGTCATGACGACTGAAAACTTCGTCTACTAGCACCTGATGGGCAATCGCGATTGCTTCTTGATTGGGAATAGCGAAAACTTCTGGCCATTTACTGAAGTAATCCATGAAGATGTATTTGTTAGCACGCTCTGACTCAGGGAACGGTCCGTTTTTAACGTCTTCAGGTCTTCATGATAGTGAACCCAGTAAAAACGTTCCCGAATTTTGTCCAAAGTCTTGTTAACTGGAAAATGTGCCCCTGATAAGTTCCGTCATGTATTTCTTTCAATACATCTTCTACTTGATCTTTTGGAATAACCAGTTGGCTCTTAGTAGATTTTCCATCGGCGCTTTCCCAAATTCTTTTCAGTTAACCATTTTCTACGGCCAGAGAGTTCCACTGACCCCACAACGCCTTGTAAATCAAACTCTTGTTCGACACTTCCCTCCATTACTGGCCTACATTTATCATTTTCTTTAAGATGTAGAAATTGCTCGATGTCCTGGTCTGCTTCTTGATTTGCTCTCATTTGTTTGATAGTTTAATAGTCCAATTTATCATCAACGATCAGAACCGTTCTCCTCACAGCCGGACCGCGTGTTTTCCTCATGCATGCCGATTCTTTGACAATGCTTGCAGTTTTCTTTGCATGGCCATCTAGACAGAGCGTCAGCATTTTTATGCAGGTTTCTAGGTCGATGTTTAATTTGGAAACCACATTGCTGCAATTTCTCAATCCATCCAGCAAACTGTCCCTCGGGAGTTTTAATTTCTAAAAGCCATTTGAGAGCCGCGTGATCTGTTCGAATTAGAAACTTATTACGTTCGTAGGGATACTTATGAAAATGGTCGACTGCTTTTACTAGGCAAGTAACTCTCTTCTGGGGGCCGATTCTCGAGCCAGAGAGTAGAGCTCGCCGAGAGAACACATTTTGCGTCTTTATCATTCTTCTTTACTTTTCGATTACGTTGACAAGGACAAAACATTCGTTCTATCGGGGAGCTCTATACATCCTTAAACGAGAATCAGGCTCCTGGTGACACAATAGTTTCGTTCCTGCTTTGATAATAAGGTTCTGCTGTAGTAGGTAGGTACGTACTCTACGACATGCTCTTGTGAATTTTGGGTTTGTAAAAGGACAGCTCCAATACTTATGTTGTTTGCCCTCAGTTCATGTTTGTCGCGTGGTTCTGGCCAATCCCTGACAGCATCTATCTTTCCTTCCATAACTTGTATGCCATCTTCAGATACCACGTGACTTTAGGAATTCCACTTTTTTTGAAATATAAAACACATTTGGATCTCAAACGTAGCGGTAGCATTATTACACAATCCGAAAGGCATTACATATGAAGTTAGTAAGAAGGTTTGGAATGGGCTTTATTGCGTCATTCCATTGATTCCAGAATGAGATACCGCAAAGGGCAGAAAATCTATTGGATCTCCCGGATCTCTCACTCTAACCCTGTGAGATAAAGCTAGAGTAGAAATCAAACGAGAAGAAGCCACACGGGTTATTGTTTGTCTCACTTTAAATGGTAGGGACGCTTTCTTTGTCAGCGCTGATGACAGTGGCATCTTCTCGTTTGATTTTTACTCTAGTAAGGGCAGAAAATCTCACGGATCTCTTCCGTTCTCTAACTCTAAATTATGCTGGCCGCAAATATACGTATTGGGTACCTAGATAGGCAAGGCTCATTCCAAACCTTCTTACTACTTCATTGGTATACAGTCAGTTCCAAGGTAATTTACACTACAGTGACTATTTACACGATCGGTTGTCTCCTCGGTTGTCTCTTTTGGTGATTGTCACTGCTTACACTGACTCACTATTCTAGTGTTCACGTGTCCATACACTAGCCGTGTTCGTTTTTGTCATCTTTTTCGTCGATTTGCTCCGAAATTTTGACAACCACGTGATCTGTAAATTGAAACTGTCTAATTCAGTCACGTGTTTGTCAAAATTTCAGAGCAAATCGACGAAAAAGATGACAAAAACGAACACGGCCACTAGTGTCCGCAGTAGTCCGCACTCTTCTGCAATCGGATTTCACTTTGCAGTCCTCGAATAGGCTCGTTCAGTGAAATTTCATTAACGACGTTTTTGTACATTTTCATGGAGTATTAGTATTAGGTAGGTACTCACATATAGCACATAAAAAAAAATCCAGCTTAATTGGATCAATATTTAAAAAATTACGTGTCTTTAACGGCCGAATTTATAGTCGCTCCTTGAAGGTTCCTCAGACCTTAAGGAGGCCTTGAACGTTTAGAATTGACATGACAAACTCTTCAAATAGTAGCAAGTGTCCATTCTAAACTCACGACTTTCAAGGAAGACCCAAGGAACGACTATAAATTTGGCCCTAAATATTAAAACATTTTCCTCAGAAATTCACCGCTGAGAGATTCATTATGAACTCGACAAACCAAACATTCAACTCACAATCTACAAAAATCGTACTGAAAACTACCGTTTGTTGATTGTTGAAAATGACAAAAATGCATGGCAACTTACTGCACCCCACATCAAACCACCATACATTTTAAACAACAAGCAACACAACCAAACTTTCACACCAAAGTGTTCCAAGATGCACCAGAAAAATCTTGTTGTAACCGGACTTAGGGTCGGTTTCTCTATAGCGAGTAACCTCCGGGTTGGTTTCAATTCTAGGGTAAGCGTGTCCAGTTGCTATATGTTTACCCTGGACTTATGCTCAACCCGGGGGTAACTCGCTATTGAGAAACCCTATCATCTAACTTTTACCGGAATTTTTTGACAGCTACCGGTTTATTTACCCGGTCAATTTATCGGTGAAATTTGGAAAGTGCCCTATGACGTCATCTCTCGAGTCGAGACAGGGTAAAGACCGTCACACACGGTTTTGCACAATAAATGTCAACTGATTTTCTTTCTACTGACAGTTTGCGGAACTAAACTTGTCTAAACGTGTCATTACTTCACTAAACTCAAACAACTTAACTCTTTACAACTCTCACAAAATTCACTATCTAAAGGCAGATCTGCAAAAGAAGACTTTTCTACAATTTTCCCTTAGCAGTTTTTTTTTTCCATTTTAGCAAGACACCACAAAAAACTTGAACAAAACATCAAGCAGCTAAAAAACGAATAGATTGCAAGATCGGACCATGATAGGATGCAGGATCGGAGTCGGGTGGAAGTGGGAATGGGCACGTGCCGGAAAGCTGTGAACGACGTTGTTTGAAGTGTAGTAGGTACCATTCCCTTCTCAGACACTCGTCACTCCTCCGATTGAATGATCGGAGTCGGATCGGAAGGATGCATGATATGTGTGACCTGGCCTTTACCCGGAGCTGCTCACTATAGTTATATTCCTTTCGCCCCTAGGAAAAGCACCGGAACAGCTCCAAGGGTGCGTTCACCAATTATTCATGGCTGGTGTGCACTTGGTGTGACGCCCAGGATGATTTCGAACGCACTCCAGGGGTTACGCGCTTATTAGGCCCGGTATTCATAGTCGCGTGCTTGGCTCAAGCTCCGATTTTTGCCTGTTGTGAGCATCGTTCCGTGCTGTTTGGAAACGTAAATATGGCGTCAAGTCGTACTTGAGCCAAGACGCAACCTTGAGCATCGACTATGAATACGGGCCAGTGCTCAAGCCCGAACTCAATCATTTGAATGCACGAAAGCCAGCGCATCTGCTCCTTTCAAATCGACTAACACCGGAGCGAGTAGCTCTACTTGTGTTTTAAGCCTTTGAAAGCAATACAACTAATAGTCCAGGAGGTGGCGCCAAAAACATGCAAGAGTTTTCGCAAGGCGGATATTTTTAAAATAGGTCGTACTTTAGTGCTAGAATGCTAGTGTACAGTCAGCACTCACAGTTCCGGGACAGCTGGCTCTGGGACGCGGGCAAAGTTGTGATTTTAAGAAGCATCTAAACTGTTTTCTCAAAGCTCAAAATTTATAGAAATTTTGCACATTATCTGTTTGAAGGTCACAGATAACGTATGTAAATCGTCAGACGTCTAGTTCGTTGCAAAAAGGGGGTCAGACGTCCTCAAAGTTTTTATTTTATGGCATTTTCTTCAACTATATTTGTCAAATACCTGCAAAAATATATTTTGACAGGACACCGAAGAAAATGCCATAAAATAAAAACTTTGAGGACGTCTGACCCCCTTTTTGCAACGAACTAGACGTCTGACGATTTACATACGTTATCTGTGACCTTCAAACAGATAATGTGCAAAATTTCTATAAATTTTGAGCTTTGAGAACACAGTTTAGATGCTTCTCAAAATTACAACTTTGCCCGCATCCCAGAGCCAGCTGTCCCGGAACTGTGAGTGCTGACTGTACACTAGCATTCTAGCACTAAAGTACGACCTATTTTGAAAATATCCGCCTTGCGAAAACTCTTGCATGTTTTTGACGCCAGCTCCCCAACTATAATGTCAAAAGCTTGAACGTTCCTTTTAAAAGTACGTTAAGCACTCGAGTCGCTCATAGTGCATCCCCCTTACCCCTGCACCAAATTTGCATGGTGGGGGGGTGGTGCAAGAAGCCCTTAGGTAATGTTAAGGTACGGTTTGTTATGCTCGTATATATTACATCTGTGTATTTTCCCGTGTATTTATTCATGTAGTTCAGGGTGACAACCGAAAAACTTCAAACGCAACATAAATCAGCATTATGAAAAACGAAATAATGGTGGCACCCTGAACTACTTGATTAAATACACGAAAAAATACACAGATGTAATACGGGCATTAGGATAGTACGCGACGCACAACTGACAACGTAAACGTCGCCATTGGTTCAGGTATCGAGGAGCCCTAGAGCGACCCGTTCGGAACACTAGAGGTACTCGCTCCGGTGTTAGTGGCCCCATTTGAAAGGAACAGATGCGCTGGCTTTCATGAATTTAAATGGTTTACTTCGGGCTTGAGTACTCAGATGCAACAAACACTTTTCGAAAGGAATAAACGCGTAAAGCCCCGGAGCTGTTCCGGAGCTCCTCATAGGTGTGAAAGGAATACAACTTATGTTGAAATGTTGACCCTGGGCTGGAATCACGACAAGTAGAATTCTACTAAAATTCTACTTCATGACGTCAGGTTGCCTAGCAACCGTCATCATCGCCTGTACTGTGAGCGATAAATAGGCTTTGGGTGACGTCATGAAAGTAGAATTCTACTGGTCATGATCCCAGCCCTGGAGTTATGCTTAACCCAACCCGGGGGTGACTTGCTATTGAGAAACCGGCCCTAGTGACTTGAAACGTAATATCGATATTTATCGATTCGATATTCACATATCTTTAAAAAAACCGCCATCTCTAAGCCTTTTTTTTTTCGGTTTGCAGCACTGAATGGCGCGCTTTCAATTTTCAAACAAATATCTTGGCTCGAAGTTATAAGAACCAAATTTTTTTGGTTTAATGCTGAATTACTTCGATGAATGCTTTTCCAAATTGCAGCAAATTGTTGAATACATTATTTTTGTTCTGAATAGAAAAAAAGAAAACTCTCCGACTTTGGTTTGGATTGGTGTCTCAACACTGTAATTTTTAAAACTTTACCTTGACTTCAATAATCATTCATTGCTTATTTATAAAGCGTACAAATTGCGATTTTTACATTTGCGCGCATTTAATTTTGATAAGAAGGAAGTAAAGATAACTCGTTATAATTATCACTTCATTTCCTTTTCGAAAATTTATACAACCTACACAATTGAGCATTTTTGTTACGTTAACTTCATTAGGTATACAACAAAATTTTCATAGGATTCTTTTTAAAAAAACCATAAATTATGCATGTGTGAGCTCTCTAATTATTGTGTCTTTTTCTAATGCTTAGCTTGGAAGCGAAATAGAAATATATTCCATATAGAGAGTTGTTGAAGAAAACACTGTTGTCAAAAACAGCTGCCAGTGTCGATTTTCATTTCATATTGCAGAGAGGCTGGAAAAAGGAAAATTTAATAATTTTCAATGTTTTTCTTTTAAGAAAACACATTTTGAATTAAAATATTTGAAAACAATAAAAGTGATGACTGCTTATTATAATAAATGCATTTTCTTCAATAGCTTCTTTGAAAAAGTGAAAAAGTGTCAAGTTTCCTAATGGAAAAATCGATTTTCCAAGGATCCTGAATTAAATATCAAATCAAAAAGATGTCTGGAGTGTTTGGATACAGCCGTGAGGCTGTTAGAGTTAAAGTTAAGGTAAGTTTTACTCAAGAAAAGTGAAATTTTCCTAATTCAAATTTACATTTTTATCAATAACTTTCCAATAACTCCATAAGGAAAAAACATAATAGTACCTATATTTCCTAACTATTGCGGAAAGTGCCACTTTTCCGCACGCCATTGCAGCTGCAAGCATTCAGGTGAGGAAAAGAGACTTTTCGCACAAGTTAGGAACACTATTTTTTCTACGATATGAAAGTTAATATTTGTATCTACATACTACATACCCCCAATTTTAGATATTTTTACTTTTCCGCATTAGTGTGTGGAAAAGTACTATTCCGTACTAATATTTGTACGAGTATTTGTACTACCAATTTTAGATAGGTACTTTAACTAATACTAGTGAGGAAAAGTGGAGTTTTTTGCACGCTTATGCTCATAGAAAAAATAATAAATGCTAATATCAAATTTTTCATTTTCTCCCTATAGAAATGTGAAGGAAATCAACCAACTGAAATAAGAAAATTCAGTGTAGATCCTCAAATAACTTCATTCGAAGTTCTCCAAAGCATTTTAGCCAAAGCATTCGATTTAAAAGGCGACTTTGCTATATGCTACCGTGCCTATGATATAACTGGTCAGGAAGTTTACATGAGATTAATATCAGATTGGGATTTGGATGCTGCATTTTTAAAGTAATTTGTTCCAACATCTTCTATTCTACTTATTAAGTAAAAATAATTATTCTAGAGCATACAATACATCAGCAGCTATCAACCAAGAACCTTGCTTATGCTTGAGAGTAGACCTCAAACTCTTTGAGGAACAAATCGAGGATTGGGAGCAAAAACAAAATGTCTCAATTATCGCTCAAATTCGAACTCCTACCAGCCAAGAAGCGAAACCGTCTTCCAGGTTTCACGGGATGTTCAACCAGGTTGGAAAAACTCTCAACATGGTTCAGAAGGTTTTGAATTTTGGCGAAGATGCCAATACAAGCGTGCAACCTCTTCGAGCGCCGCTCAGCGATGGAGAGTTCAGGAAGTTCTGCGATGCTGTAGGTCAAATTGTTTATGCCAAAGAATTGAGATCTGTTATTTATTATGGAGGAATTGAACCCAGTTTGAGGTAGAGTTTAAGTCAAAACATTATGTTTTTACTAGTATCTAGTAGAAACATTGCAAAATATTTGTACTCAATTGGTTATTATTTGTATTTTCAAGGTGTCTTACCACATTCTACACTCCTACTAATGAAAAATCAAAGAAAATGAATTTCTTTTTTAATTTTATTTTTTTTATCCATTTTTTTTCACTTTGTGTAGGTATGTATCAATTTTTTCTCTATTACTTACTGATTTTGTTTCTTTCCCAATTTTTTCGCTCTATTTTCCTTTTTATTTCTTTTTTTTTTTCGTTTAGTTCTGTTCATTCCAGCCTCTAAGATTTTTTTATGTTTGCCCTCTCTAAATTAAAAACATAAAATTTTAGAGCTTAAAATAAAGAAAAGTAGGTAACAAATTAAAAGTCAAAAAATCTAAGAACGCGCTTGCAAAGTTTCAATATAATTCCTAGAAGCATACCCCCTTGATTCAAAGCTGTACATCTTTGTTAATTTCAATCCGATCTTAATGTAATTAGGCTAAAAATAAAGCCAATTAAATCCTTCACAAATCTCTACTGAGTATTTTCAATGCAGCTTCAATAGTTTCGCAGCTGCAAAGACTTAAAGCATTTCGACTTTGATTTTTATCAAGGCGAGCACATAAAAGCAAATTTTTATTTTTTTTGCTTAAATTTCAATCCTTTTTACATCCACTTGCAAAGTTACAAACCAATCCCTCAAACAATTTCCTCATAAAAAAAAAAAACGTCTGTGAATGTTGTTTTTTGAAGCTTGATTTTTCTCAAAATGACTTTGACACACATTTTGTTCCATAACCGAGCCTACAACTTTATTAATTTCAATCAGATCTTGATCTGATCGTTATTAGGCTCAAAAAAATCCTGTACAGATCTCTATTGAATAGTTTGAATGCAGTTAGTTTCAATAATTTCACTGCTGCAAAGCTTCAAATTCTTTTGACTTTCATTTTTATAAAGGTGAGCAAGCAAAAGGCAATTTCAATTTTTTTTTGTTGAATATCAATTTTTGCTCTATTCATTTGCAGAATTTCAATCCAATCCCTCAAACAATATCCTTAAGAAAAATAAAACGTTCCCCAATGTTGTTTTTAGAAATTTGATTTTTCAAATGACATACAAGCACATTTTTCCTCACAACTTTATTAATATCAGTCCGATCTTAACGTAATTAGGCTCAAAATGAGGCCAAATATGTGCTCTACAAATCCCTAGTCTGAATGCAGCTTTTAACTTTGATTCTCATGAAAACGGAGAAGAAAAAGGCAATTTTACTTTTTTCTCAAATTTCAATCCTATACCTCAAACATTTTTTTCAAAGAAAAAATAAAATGTCCTTCAATGGCATTGATGTCCCTTTTTTCCTACAACCAAAACACTCTCGTAGTCTTTTATTTAATCAGCAAATTATCCACTTTTAGAAAAGTGGTCTGGAAACATTTACTGAACGTGTATCCAGACGGCATGAACGGAAGAGAAAGGATGGATTACATAAAGAAAAAAGCCAGTGAATATGAAAAATTAAAAGAAACATGGAAACAAGCAATTGCTCAGGTAATGAGACATCTATTTTTTCATCACGTCACTTAAATTTTATGACAAAAATAGGGTGCTGTAGCTGGTGAATTAGCTTACACCACTGGAATGGTAAGGAAAGATGTCCTACGCACAGACAGGCATCATCCCTTTTACGCTGGAAGCGACGATAATCAAAATATTGCCTCATTATTTAACATATTAACTACGTAAGCAATTGCCTCATTCACCCACTATAACATTATATCAGAACTTTTTTAGTTACGCTCTAAACCATCCAAAAGTATCTTACTGTCAAGGAATGAGCGATTTAGCCTCACCCTTACTAGTAACCATGAACGATGAAGCTCACGCCTATATTTGCTTCTGCGCATTAATGCAAAGGCTTGCTACGAATTTTATGATTGATGGCATAGCAATGACTCAAAAATTCACTCATCTTGCTGAAGGCTTAATGTACTACGATCCAGAATTTTATAATTATTTAAAATTACATCAGGTAATATTCTACAAAATAATCCATCAATAATTTTATACATGATTTTTCTTAGGCTGATGATTTACTTTTCTGCTATCGTTGGCTTTTATTAGAAATGAAACGGGAATTCGCCTTTGACGATTCATTAAGAATGTTAGAAGTACTTTGGGCCTCATTACCAGCGGACCATCCTCAATTAGAACTTAAATTGTTTGATACAATGTTTCATGCTATTCCACCAAGTGCTACTCCTCCAATAAGTCCACTCGTAAGTGACCTCTTAACCATAAATTTTAACACTTAGCAAAATTTTGTTAGGTAAAGACTCCACGTGAAAACGCCTATACAAAAGTCTGCGCGCTACGCCGTCAAAGTTCGTCAATATCCTTAAGTAATTACGCTTCCAATAAAAAAATCGTACCAGTCAAGCGGCAAAATCACAGCCTAGACGAAACTATAAGTAGATGTAAAAATAATACTATAATGGAACTTAAGCTCAATAAAAACCAAAGCTTAGACGATGCAGTTTTGATAGGCAACATCAAAAGCAGTAAAAGTAATGACATAAGCCCTAGGCATGGTTAGTATCTTTAGATTTTTGCTTTAATCCATCTGTACTAATAGTTCCCTCCCAGGTACTACCAAAGACGACACGCCCCCATCTTCCCGCTCCGAGTTGAGACCCCGTTCAGTTTCTCCTCTAGAACCCAAGTCCGATTCTGCCCTAGTGCTTACTAACAATAACCGCATTATCGCGCACCAGATGGCTTTTCGATCGAAAAGTGCAAGCTTATCAGCTAGCATGTCCAATTTGATTCGTAGTACGAAAAAAGGCGGACATTTCAAAGAGTTGAAAGATAAAATAGCGGCGCATAAATTGTTTTCTTCTCTAGACAGGTTGGATGCTACGCAAATGATTAAGGAGGAAGAGGAAAGGGTGCCCAGGAAGGTTGTGAAGAATTTGAATGAGTTTTTGAATTTTGCTGGTATGAATAAGAGTAAGATTTCTGATACTGATCAGAGTCAGGCTTATTTACAGGTAATAATTTAATAAGTTGTAAGAATAAATGATGAATAAGTTTTTCAGGTCAATAACGATAAACCAAAAATCATGCTCACAAAATCAAGTTTTGACGACTCTGAAAGCTCCAGTGACAAGCCACGGAATTCGTCTACATCGAATACAATTACAACTGATGATACAGATACGTTTGACGAATACAGCCCAGACGATAGCCAAGAGTATTTTCCATTGACAACTTCAGTTACCAGAGAGTTGAGACTTGAACTAGAGAATTTAGATAGGAAAGTTTTCGGCGATAAATACGTGGACAGATTGTCTGATTCGCCTTCTAGCGAATGCGATTTGAAAACTACTACGAAAAATGAAGAATTGCAATTGGTGAGAACTGATAAAATTATTCACCTAAAGTTTTGCGTATAAAAGCGAGTTCTTTTTCTGTAGGAAAAACCTAACAGCGGTGACGTATTTATTTGGGAAAATCCTTTGCACCAAACCAGCCCTAAAAACGCTGTGCCCGAATTGCAAGACACTCCGGACGAACAAAACGACATCGACTATGACGCCCCTACAATGGTAAACGAAACGTCGGCCACCAAAACCGTAACGCCCATAAGAATAATAAATTCGACAAGCAAAATCGAAACCACCCAGAAAGTAGTAGTGAATTTGGCCGAGCCGATACCACAGCCCAGAGCCCTTGTCGCCTGTCAAAATTTCCACAACGGTACCATGACCAATTCCTGCGAAGAAGTCCAAGAAATCAAAACTTCGACTTTTCTGCCGCCGCCTCACGAATTCGGGGGCGGCAATCCGTTTTTAATGTTTCTCTGCCTCACGGTGCTACTGCAACATCGCGAACATATCATCGGGAAAAGTATGGATTACAATGAAATGGCGATGCATTTCGATAAGATGGTGCGTAAACATGATGTCACTAGGGTGCTGAATCAGGCCAGGCAAATGTACGCACGTTACATGAAACAACAAACTATTGCTCAGCATAAGATTGAGACGTTTAGGAATGAGAAGTGTTGATTGTAAAGGTGAGTGTGGGATTTTTTCTGAATTGTTATGGGGGGTTATTCTATTTTTTTCACCTTTTTCTGGCTTTTGATATCTGGAGGAATTCTCAGATTCAGTAATTTTCACAAATTTTAAATACTTGAGAATGATTACTCTTATCAGATTTCTTGTTAGGTTTCACAGTTTGAGAATTCCAACAATGACTAGAAATAGAATTGAGTAACCCTCTATGATTTATTTTTGAAAAAAATCTCTTCTAGAAAATAATCCAAAAGTCTCATGTATAGAAAATACTACATAATAGAATTGTTACTGTGATATTTTATATTCCTTATTTTTCTAGTTTTATTTCCACTTTTTATTCTGTTATTATATTTTTTTATTTTCAATTAGTAGAAACTAATTGGAAAATTTTAAGTTTGATTTTTTGTAGCATATCATCTATCCTATAAGGAAAATTCAAAGACATTATATTCAGTTCCTTGTTTTAAAATTTTTGCCTTTTGTATTCATCTATTCTCTCTGTAAATTGAGAAATATTGACTTTTGCACAATTTATTAAGTAGCAATATTGTGTATGTGAAACTGTATGTAAGAGGTATTTAATGATTGCTGCTCGTACTGTAATTTATTTTCAAAAAATCTTCCATTATTGCACTTGGTTGCAAATTAAATCGACCACTCTTGAAATGTTTTATTTTGAAACTAGTACTTATTGCATAGAAAAAACAATGAAAAATAACCCAAAGTAGGTACTGGGTGGTCCAATTTGGATACTTTTAAACGAGCTTTTAATATTAGACTGTGAGATAGAGGGGCTGTTTAGTGGAGTCATTTTTTTTTGTCTGGCATTTTGAGGGTTGAATTTGGCTACTAAGCTGATGAGAATGTGGGTGATTTTAATGCCTGCCTTCCGTTCGAAAATTTGCAGAAGAAAAAAATTGATTTACATGAAGAATTTTTTTTTAATGTTGGCCACATTCATCCCTCAAAATGTCAGACAAAAAAAAATGACTCCACTAAACCGGCCCTAGAAAAATGAACCTCCCCACTTTAAGGCTCAAATTGTACCACCCTGTACATACATAAAATAAATATGTATTGGATTAGGATGCCACTTTTATGAATGATCTGTGAAGGTCAATCATTTTTTTGATTATAATTTAGGAAACTCAAGATTTAGGTAGCACTAGGTGCTTGACTTTTTTTTATAAATGATTATTTTATTTTTGTGAACTCAATAAAATGCCTATTTAAAATATTAACAAAATTTTATTTAAAAATTTCTCACAAATAAAATACAAAAATTAAAATATTTCTTTTGTCTAAAACACCTTGGGTAGCCTTTCAAAAAAAATAAAAGATTTACAATCAACAAGGCTACCCTACATGTTAATTTATTAATAAAACTTTTATTCTCATTATCAGACCTAAACCTAGGTGCTATATTGAATAAATTAAATCTCAGTCAATAATGTTAATACAAGAGAGGACAGACATTAATAATTATTATAATTGTATAATAAAAATACAGGCTGTCCCAGCCTAGAGTGATTTGAAATGCTTATAAACCAGGTGTGCTAAAGTAAAAAAAGTTGCTGTTTTTCAACATCGAAATTCTCTACTATTTTTAATGGAACACCCTGTATATCACAACGTCAAAAAAAGAGTCATGTTGAAGGTATCCATGCACAGAACTATCCACATATCAATAAACATAGTCCTCGAAATACATATAAAACTTCAGCTGTAAAAAGTTAAAATCGAAATCCTGGTATTTTGCAAACGCATTTTTTAAAAAGTCTGGAACCGTCAAGTCAGGAGAGTAAGGTGCCCATTCTATAGGACCAGCTCCTATCCATCTTTCTCCAAATTTCATATCTAATGATTCTCTTGATATTAAAGAATAATGGGGGCTCGGACTCTGTAACCGATAGATCATTATCCTTATCGCTATGGCACTTGCTGTCTTCTTCTTTTCGAACTCAATAGAGAGGGGACGCCAATAGAGATAGAGAAAATATCTATATTCGTTACAGAGTCCCAGCAAGCATGCACAATCCTGCTGAAATGTTACACAATTGCTTCAACCATTTACTGATCCGACTCCATAAATGCGTGGAGCAGAATGGCAAACATATACAGCAATTCTTATTGCTTTATGCAGGTTGTCTTACCTTTCTATTAGACAAACATAATTTCAAAACTTTGTAAATATTCTAATAAAAAATGCGTTTGCAAAAATACCAGGATTTCGATTTCAATTTTTTTTGTGCAACCATCCGCAAAATGAGCTTTCGCGGCCGCCACACAGTCCGCGAAATTCAATTTCGCGGCCGTTGCCCTTGGTGACGGCCGCGAAACTATAAATCAAAATTTGACACTTTGACAACAACAATAAGTAAATTTTATTTCCAAATTCTTCAGAACAACATAAATTATTTAGGATAAATATTAACACTTACATGACAGTTTGCATTATTACTAATATTTACTCCTAAAGCTGAAGCAACTAATAATCCAGTGTTTTTGAATTGAACTCTCAAAACTTCCCATTTCGGCATTAAATTAGCCAATATGCTTTCAGACACCATTTTGACGTTTTGTTTGTCACACCAATTTTTTGAACTCGCAGTAACAATTTTCATATTGCCGCTTAGTTTTCCAGGTATTAACTCAGAAATAGCTGATTGAACCATATTTTTTAGCTCTGGAGGAGTGCAAGAGAGTGAAACATCTGTATCGCTGTCGGATATTTTCACGATTTTTTGAGAACCGTCAAAATTTTTTGTGTATTTGTTTACTTGCAAAATATGTCATCCATGACATCCATGGAAACGCTGTGCCACCATAGCCACCAGGTTATACATCAAACTGGTAATTAGTTCCACATGTTTGTTGAAAGGAGTACATTTTTTCTATAATTCCACATAATTTTCATGGTTGCACAAAAAATAGTGTGTATACCATGACCGCGAAACTTTTTAGCGTCCTCGAGATTATCTTGCCTCGGCCGCAAGCGGCCTCGGCGATAACTTTTCTCTACGTACGCTAAAAGGCACTTCGCGGCCTTGGTATACAAATAACTATTACTGCTAAAGCTTTATGTTTCAAGGACGATGTTTTTTGGTACATGGATACCTTGTACATGACTTTTTTTTTTGACGTTGTGATATACAGGGCGTTCCATTAAAAATATTGGAGAATTTCGATGTTGAAAAACAACATTTTTTTTACTGGCCCTGTATAAGTATCAGAAAAATTTGCAACTAACTGGAGAAAACTTTAGGCCAAGAGAAGTCGGATGGCGCAAACCGCAGGAAGCTAGCACACCTGGTTCAAAAGTTATAAGCATTTGAAATGCTGGAACACCCTGTATAACAATAAGAGCTGCCATTATTGATAAACATTTGAAAGACAATTTTGGGATTTGGTAAAAAATTGGCACACTAAAATGAGTATTTGTATATCAATTACACTAAGGTCCTGTTTATTCATCTTTAGATAAACTTTCTCGTATATACCTGCAAGATAAATTCACCGCTCTATAAATCTATTGGTTGGCGAGATAACTGGCTGACCGATGGAATTACAGATTACATACCTGACAGTTTATCAGAAAGTGAATAAACTGGCCCTAAAACCAACAAATTTGATTAGATACACTATGATAATGTTATTGCACACTGTAATTTTAAAGCGCCTATTGCAGAGACGAAAAACCCCAAAAAATTAAGTAAAACTTTGGTCTGATACCGTATTGTACCTAATAAAAATCCAAAATACCTTTGCAGGCCTCAAAAAAACAAAAAACACCCTATATGTTATTTTCCAACGCAGGAATACTGTTCATTTCCGTTTTCTTGTTACCAATCAGCTGTTCCTTTAAAATATTTTGCAGCGAAATCCTGGCTTCTCGTTCCTCGTTGAGTTGAGAGGCCAACGTCGCCACTTTGTATTCCAACACATAGTATTTGGATTCGAGCAAAGTGACGACTTCTGAAACGTTGGTTTTGGTCGAATCGGTTTTGGAACTCTCACTGGTTGCAACTGGAATTTAAAAGGAACACATCAGGTTTGTAAATAATTTACTGTATCTACACAATGAAACATTGGATAATCAATAAATCTGGCACAGACTTAAATAGTGAAAAAGTAGAATACTTACTTGTTTGTTTTTATATTTTTTAAAACAAGCATGCAAGTGACCAGTTAATTTTGTATGAAAAAGTGAAATATTAGTCACATTTAAAAAAAAATGGGTGATATTTCCATCACCAAAATGTTTTTTTTTTAGTCTTATTGTGTCAGTTAGTTTGTTTTGTGACTATTTATGATGAGTGAATATTAACCAATGTATAAGTATTCTGCTTTTTTGAAAAACGTTTGAAATGTTCTGTGTGTATTAATTGGGAAATAAACAATCTTACGATAAATTAGTAGAAAAACAAAAAGCAATGAAAACGATTAGTGAACCAATTTAATGCAGATGGCATTATCCTGCATTAATCAATCCAAACATACAAAAACACCATCGCAAGACAAAAAAAAAGGAAACACACTGCGAAGACTTGACGGTTACTCCAAATGTTTCTTGAGTTGTTTAGCGACAAAGGAGCCACAACACCAAGTGGAAGCCCTCGGAGGGCCGTGAGGTCTGTAGCGTCTCGGTTGCAACGGTTGAGGGATCAGTTCTAAACTCGATCTGTGTACGGTGGTCGGTTTTGGTAGCTGCACGTTGCCTCCAGTTAGAACCTCGGCTAGAAGGGCAAAACTATCAGAATGGAATCACCTACTTGATGAGTGATTTTGTTGGTGGTGATTCAAGTACCTTTTGCTTGCTTATTTATCTATTTGAGCCTCTATTGATAACTAGTTACTTTCCCCTAGCTATAACATCTACTAGTACAGTAAGAATTATTGATTATTAGTCCGGTATAAGCTGTTCAAAATTGGTTTCTCGTGTACCTATTTGGTATGCAAGCAAGCGGTTTTTTTTAAACCTAAATTTGTATTGTAAAGAATAACCAAGTCCAGTCGGAACGTCGACTTATGTGTCAGAGGCGTACAGTACGGGAAAATAAAATCAACTGACTTTTTGAGCGGTTTTACTTTAGAACAAGCAGACAACAAAGCTTATAATTACATGCTATCCATTCTTCAATACAAAATATGTGAACAGTATACATATTTTGTCCCGATACTGACGTTTTTGTTTTGGCAGAAAAACAAATCCTTAGTAAGTAATAATAGGGACTACCGATTACCCTGGACCGCAAACGTAATATCCATGCTCTAATGGTCAATATTTTTTTTCTCAGTAAGCAATTCTTTAATTTGGTCCCCAATATCAACAGTATCTTGAATGTAGCATTCAAATCCATTCAAAAAGTCATGAGTGGATTCAATTCCAAAATGTTGTTCCTTGACAGTTATTGAAATTTTCAAACCTAAGTATTTAGATAAATATAAAACTCATTATTCTTTCAAATTTTTTAAATTTTGGCCTGTAAATCCCGAAGTGAAATTTTGGGAGAATTTCTTTAATAAAAATGTCCGACGTCCAACACAAAACTAGATTTTTTTTTTTTTAAATATCCAATTATTACTTTTCCTTATAATAAGAATGTGAACCTCAGTGGCGTCATGACCCTACAATTTCTTTTAAATTTCTCACAACTTCCTCCAAATTCCCTATAAATTCCCCACATTTTTGGCAAAGAAGTCCTAGGTCTCACTCAATTCAAAGTACTCCTGGAAAATTAATTGAGGGAAAAGTTGAAACTTTTTGTATATAAAGAGGAAGGTTAGAAGCTCATTTTCCCAAAATTTCAAATTTTTCCAGCGAAAAATAACAACATGAAGAATCTTGGAAATCAACTCACAAAAACTGAATTAATTGAAGTTACAGTCTCGCACATTCCAAAATTTTCCTGGAAAACTAATCCAGGAAAAAATTTGAAACTTTTTGCATGTAAAGAAGAAGGTTAGAGGCGCATGAAAAATCTTAGAAATCAACCTACAAAAGTGAATTAATTGAAAATACAGTCTCACACATTTCAAAGTTTTCCTGGAAAACTAGTGAACGGAAAAATTTGAAACTTTTTGCATGTGGAGAGGAAGGATAGAGGCTCGATTTTCCATAATTTCCAATTTTTCCAGTGGAAAATAACAACATAAAGAATCTTGGAAATGAACCTACAATAACTGAATTAATTGAAAATAGCCTCACACAATTCAAAGTTTTCATGGAAAACTAGTAAAGGCAAAAATTTGAAACTTTTTGCATGTGAGGAGAAAGGTTAAAGGCTCATTTTCCCAAAATTTCAAATTTTCCCAGTGAAAAATAACAACATAAAGAATCTTGCAAATCAACCTACAATAACTGAATTAATTGAAAATACAGTCTCACACAATTTAAAGTTTTCCTGGAAAACTAGTAAAGGCAAAAATTTGAAACTTTTTGCATGTGAGGAGAAAGGTTAAAGGCTCATTTTCCCAAAATTTCAAATTTTCCCAGTGAAAAATAACAACATAAAGAATCTTGGAAATGAACCTACAATAACTGAATTAATTGAAAATACAGTCTCACACAATTCAAAGTTTTTCTGGAAAACTAGTAAAGGCAAAAGTTTGAAACTTTTTGCATGTGAGGAGGAAGGTTAAAGGCTCATTTTCCCAAAATTTCAAATTTTCCCAGTGAAAAATAACAACATAAAGAATCTTGGAAAGGAACCTACAATAACTGAATTAATTGAAAATAGCCTCACACAATTCAAAGTTTTCATGGAAAACTAGTAAAGGCAAAAATTTGAAACTTTTTGCATGTGAGGAGAAAGGTTAAAGGCTCATTTTCCCAAAATTTCAAATTTTCCCAGTGAAAAATAACAACATAAAGAATCTTGGAAATCAACCTACAATAACTGAATTAATTGAAAATACAGTCTCACACAATTTAAAGTTTTCCTGGAAAACTAGTGGAGGAAAAAATTTGAAACTCTTTGTATGTGAAGAGGAAGGTTAGAGGCTCATTTTTTCTATAATTTTCAATTTTTCCAGTGGAAAATAACAACATAAAGAATCTTGGAAATAAACCTACAATAACTGAATTAATTGAAAATACAGTCTCACACAATTCAAAGTTTTTCTGGAAAACTAGTAAAGGCAAAAGTTTGAAACTTTTTGCATGTGAGGAGGAAGGTTAAAAGCTCATTTTCCCAAACTTTCAAATTTTTCCAATAAAAAATAACAACATAAAGAATCTTGGAAATCAACCTACAATAACTGAATTAATTGAAAATACAGTCTCACACAATTTAAAGTTTTCCTGGAAAACTAGTAAAGGGAAAAATTTGAAACTCTTTGTATGTGAAGAGGAAGGTTATAGGCTCATTTTTCCGAAATTTCAAATTTTTCCAGTGAAAAATAACAACATGGAGAATCTTGGAAGTCAATCTACAATAACTGAATTATTTGAAAACACAGTCTCACACATCTCAATGTTTTCTTGGAAAACTAATGAACGCAAATTCTAATGAATTTGAAACTTTTTGCATGTGAAGAGGAAAGTTAGAGGCTCATTTTCCCATAATTTCAAATTTTTCCATTGGGAAATAACATTAGGAATCTTGGAAATCAACTTACAAAAACTGAAATAATTGTTAATACAGTCTCACATAATTCAAAGTTTTCCTGGAAAACTAATGGAGGAGAAATTTTGTAACTTTTTGCATGTGGAGAGGAAGGATAGAGGCTCATTTTCCCAAAATTTCAAATTTTTCCAGTGAAAAATAACAACATAAAGAATCTTGGAAATCAACCTACAATAACTGAATTAATTGAAAATACAGTCTCGCACAATTTAAAGTTTTCCTGGAAAACTAGTGAAGGGAAAAATTTGAAACTCTTTGTATGTAAAGAGGAAGGTTAGAGGCCCATTTTTCCGAAATTTCAATTTTTTCCAGTGAAAAATAACAACATGGAGAATCTTGGAAGTCAATCTACAATAACTGAATTATTTGAAAATACAGTCTTGCACATTTCAACGTTTCCTTGAAATCCTTGAAAAACTAGTGAACGGAAAAATTTGAAACTTTTTGCATGTGGAGAAGAAAGTTAGAGGCTCATTTTCCCATTATTTCAAATTTTTCGATTGGGAAATAACAACATAAGGAATCTTGGAAATCAACTTACAAAAACTGAAATAATTGTTAATACAGTTTCACACAATTTAAAGTTTTCCTGGAAAACTTATGGAGGAAAATTTTTGAAACTTTTTGCATGTGAAGAGGAAGGATAGAGGCTCATTTTTCCATAATTTCCAATTTTTCCAGTGGAAAATAACAACATTAAGAATCTTGGAAATCAACCTTCAATAACTGAATTAATTGAAAATACAGTCTCACACAATTCAAAGTTTTCCTGAAAAAAAAAATCCTATCAGCATTTATTATAATAAAAATGTGAACCTCAGTGACGCCATGACCCTTCAATTTCTTTTAAATTCCTCACAAATTTCTCCAAATTCCCCATAAATTTCTCCAAATTCTCCATGGATTTCTCCAAATTCCCTATAAATTCTCCACATTTTTGGCAAAGAATTCCTAAGTGGTTTGCCCCTTGATTCACAGCTAGCTTAGGAGGGTAAAAATATCTTTAAGCAACTTGTTTCTAGTTGGCCGAAAGAAACAAAGTAACCCTAATGTGGGAGCCAAGTCATTCTTGAAACAGAGGAGCAGCATTCCTAGGAGAACGAGTGTTCTGTCTTTGTTAGTTATATTATCATTTGCATATCATTGAGAAAGACGGAACAATCGTTTTCCTGGGAACGCTGCACAGAACGAACGCTGCTCCCCTGTTTAAAAAAAAAAATAGACCTTATTCTTGAAACAGGAGAGCAGCTTTCTGAGTGTTCCGTCTTTGTTACTTATTATCAGTTGCATATCAATGAGAAAGACGGAACACTTCTTCTCCTGGGGAACGCTGCTTCCCTGTTTCAAGAATAAGGAACCAGGGCAACGAGGAGGCAGATCGTCTCGCATGGCGAAGGCGCTGTAACACGTTTTCAAGGTCCAGGCCCTTTTTGTGAACTAATGAAAAGGTTGGTCTCCGAATCAAATGAACAGATGGGAAAAGGACCGAATGCTAGCTCATTGGAGATCCACTCCGAATCTGAAACAGGCAAAGAGGTTCATATCCATTTCAGCATCTCAGCAGGGAGATCTGAACAACTTCTTGACAGGAACAGAAGATACATTAGAACAGTCGTTGGTCTGCTCACTGGACACTGTCTGGTGAAATATCACCTGAAAACAATAGGCAAATCAGACAAAAGTCCCAGTAGATCTTGCGAACAAGCAACAGAAACTACAGAAAATTCAATCTGTCAATGCCCTGCTCACTGACTTCTGCAAAAGGTTGAAATACCTTGAAGCGGTACGGCTAACACCACTAAAGGTGGGCACTTTACCACTTAGAAACCTAACCTTCTTTGGGAGAGGCCTACAAATCTTGGACACCAACTAGAAGAAGAGTCACGCACAAAATAGCTGGAAAGGTAGCAGTGCTTGAGCGGCTGGAACAAGATGTAACGACTTCAAATGCAATCTACAATTTACAAACTTGGATGCGAAACTCATTTTCACACTGGAATAGGAAAGAAAATTATTGATTACTGACCTACAGCTCGCAAGCTTGGAACAGCGAGAACATTAGCACTGTTTTCACGCTATTTCCGGATGTGATACTACCGGAAATTCCTATAAAAACGGTAAGAAAACATTTCCGAAAGCCTCTTGGAATGCTGAAGATTCTGTTTTACTTGCTCAAAACTTAAAATTACTTGAAAAATTCAATTGTCAAGTATTTCCACCAAATAAGTACAACTTCAACGGACATTGAAGAACTTCTATGGAGGAATCTTTTTTCCAAGAAGCAGCTAACACATGACATGTAACCACCAACCAAACTTTCTTTGATAAGAGCTTTGAAACGAGCTCATTATCTGGCGTTAATCTGGAACAAATGCAAAGACAATTTTCTCTGTTGATGTCAAGGAAATAAATGTGGAAACAATGAATCTATCAATAACCTAAATCGCGGAGCAAGTAGCGACGACGAAGAGACTTAGCCTGTATATTTTAAAACACTCGAAATGTAAATAATTGTTTTTCAACAATAATTTATGCGCATGCCCAGTCTATGATCTATCTCGTGGTTTTTTTTTTTTCTTTTTTAGTATGTTCCTACTTAAATAAAGACAGATTTAGCAACCATGCCACTAAACAACCATATTTAAAAACTAATAATAATTGGTGACACATTTTATAGCGTTCCGACTGAAAACAGTTACACTTTAGTGCATTTGAAACCCTTGAAAAAGAACCGCTTATTTTCATAGCGAAAAAGCACACGGGAATACAAATCAAATTTGTCATCACTAGTACATACTATATTGAGTCCTATCATATTGGGATCAATATAGCTGCCTCATTAGCTAAGAAAAGTTCATAAATAGATAAAAAGTAACATCTTTCAATAAAACAAAATAATAAAATCATTTGAATTTTTCACATTAAACATTTTTTTAACCAAACACCAAAATAACATTAAAATTCCTTACCCGAATTGACAGTACTTCGTGGTTTGCCCAACGAACAATACGCCTCAATAACATCCAAAATAAGTCCGTCCTCTTTGTAAGTGGTGGACCGTCTGTTGTTGTACCTTTGATAAGGTCTCCCTGGAGCCGGTCCTAGAGCTAAACACGGCCTTAGGGGCGCAGAGGGTCTTAAACAAATCGCAGACCAACTTGATCCTGCTACGGGCGAAGAACAACGAAGCGTTACTCCCCCGACGGAGCCCCCGAAAAGCGAACTAGGGGCTGAATGGTTAGAGCTTGCGGCGGAAATTAGCGGAGACGTCTGAAAAAGAATTTAAGTTCAGTATTTGTTTGTATTGATTGAACAATAGCGCGACGTGACAAAAATGATTTATTGATTAATTTGATTAAAATGAGTCTTTGTACAGGCAAGGGCTGAAACACAAAAGCCAAAATCTATTTGCATATTAGTCGTTGGTTAAATATGATGCACACCACGTCGAACTTTTAAGCCAAATCAATATCATCAATCCGAGCACACTCATGCGCCCTTGCCTGCATTGTTGGATTGTTTGCGCGTCTCCTCGTAAATGCCCCTCAAAATTTCCGGCGGCAGTTTGGCTTTGAGCCACCAGTGGGCGTACAGTCCGGATTTGAACGTGGGCGGAGCCTCCTCTTCCTCGTCCTCAGCAGTCTGGTCGTGATGGTCCAACAGCGAACTTGCAGATTTGGACTTTTGTGGTCCCGCCGAAGAAATCGACATTTTTTGAACTGGCCACTGGTTCGGAAACATGTCCATGCTGGTTACCGAAGTGGTGCGCAACGAGTCTCTTGTGTGACTGGTTTCACCGGAGGTTCTGGGTGTGGAACCAAAAGGAGATGAATACGGACATTCGTTCTCATAATTTCTTGCCTCAATCTCACTCAGGCTTATACCCTCGCGATACAACAAACTCATCGTATTATCATTACTATGCCTTTCTTCATTATAAGTATTATTGGCCAAATCTGGACTATTCAATGAGCAACTACCTGCCATTCCTGAATCGGAAGATCTGTGACTGTGACTGTGACATGATTCAGCCCCGCATCGACAAATTGACTTAGTTGAAGAACCAGGCTCATTTCCACAGCCCATATTTAAAAACTTTGAACTCTTACACCTTTTAATCGCTTTGTCTTTGAGATCGGTAGGATTCATTTGAATACTGCACCTCCTCCTAGGCTTATCAGAATTAATACTGTGCTTACGAAATGGTACATTATCTAAATTAAGGCTAATTGAATCAGCTCTGAACATGGAAGGCGGGTTTATCACAGGGCGTTGAGTTAAATCTGACTCTTTTGCAAATTCTCCGTACAAAAGCTCAGCGAGCATTCTGTCAGGTAACGGTAAAATGTTTGCAGGCAATTCCAAACTGCTCGAATGTGTTGTAGCTGTACTATTTGGTGGAGTTAACTGAGGCCTGGTTCTGCAAGATATATTATTTTCGCTGCTCGACCAAGGAGGAATGTATACAGTAGTCAAACTACTTTCGTTAAATTTATTGCCTACGAATTTAGTAGGGCAACTTTGCCTCATAATAGGCATATAACTCTCTGACAAGTTTATAGAGTCGAATTCCATATTTTCTTCTAAAGTATGTAGATTTTCACAAGCCATGCCAGTTTTGCGCGGCGACATCGTTGAACTTGCTTCGGACTCTTCGGACCATTGTTTTTGAAGCAAATTCAACCTGGCGGTAGATGTTAGAACTATGCTAGGCTTTTTGGGTTCGTCTTCGACAACTTTTGGGCCTCTATTTAGTGAGGAAATACTAACTTCATCTGGCTCTTTGACTTTGTATGGTTCACCATAATCAATGAAACTTTCGTATCTGAAAGTTTCTTCTTTTTCTGAGCCAGTTTGTGGGTTGTAATAGCGTACATATCCAAAAGGGTTGCTGCTAGAACTGCTAGAATTCGAATCTGATTTCGGTTTCAGATTATCATTATCATCATCAGAGGAATCTCCATCTTCGTCACTATCGCAATTAATAACGCTGTCTCTTATGTGCAAATTTTTAGTCATTATCACCACCTCCGTTTTGTGATGCCGAATTTTCACTAAGTTTAGGTTCATCTTGTTCAGATGTTCCGCGTAGAGCAAGTTGCGGAGGAGCTTGCGCGTAAGAGCGCGTTCTTTGATCTTTTTTGCATAAAACTTAGTGAGGGCTGCATAAGGGGCGGCAGGAGGGTACGAAACCGGGGGATAAGTGGGACGATAGTTGAGGGCCGTCCTGTAGGATAATACTGATGATCGGTTGCAGTAGCCTCTTGGGTTCAAGCTTGCGGTCAGCTAAGAGTAATTGGAAAATATTCAAATATTAATTCGACTCTAACTTTGATTAGCAACCAAGATTTGATGGGTTTTTTTCAAGGGGTAAACCACCTACAAGCATGTGGGATTCCAGTGGAATTTAAGATTCTGTAGTTCAGAAACTTCTGATTGATGAGCTTTAAATCACCTTCAAATTAAGTTTTCCACAAAGAGAAAACTTCAATTCAAAAATCCTGAAAATTTTAAGTCACTGTGACCATTAGAAGAATTTTGCACAAGTGATTTTTGCAGATTTTAATCATTTTTGCATGCATCAACGTAAGAAAAAGCTTCCAAATTTAGTTTGAATTTCATTCATTTTCAGTGGAATTCCAGTAGGATTCTGTTAAAAGTGTGATTCTGGTGTACATACATATTTTTCAAAGTGATTTACCCCTCGTTTTTTTTGCTGTTTCCACTTAAATGATTATATTAAAAAGCACTTCAAACAGTGTAAATTAATTTAAAAGATACAACATAAAGCCGTTCGAAAATAATTTTTTTTCATAAAAGATCCATTGTGCTAAGGTTTCAAATCATATCCAGAATCGGGCTAAAAATCATCAGATATAATTAATAAATAAAAGACTTTCAGGAATTTAACTGGGAATTTAACTTGAAAAAATGGTAAGGATGTAATAGTATAATTTATCCTTATTTTTGTGCCCATAGAACAGGGCCAAGATACTCTATAGAGCTAATTGAGAACGCTAAACACCAACAATTGATATTTAGGCCTCTCTTAACTGCAGTACACTCTGGTTTCAAGTCGCCTCATCACTTATATGCATTCAGAGAGGATCCTTAAGGACCTAGGACCAGGAACGACTACAAATTTTGTCCTTAGTCAAATGACAACTTTTAAACTAAACTTTTTCATCTACAGACATAGGTATAGTGTGGCTTTTTTTTTTGCTCACTCGTTATTTGATATCAAATTCTGCTAGAATAATTGACTAAAATTAACTTACATGTGGAGGTGGTTGAGGCACATACTGGGCCTGACTAGGCAAAGCTTTGTGACTGCTGATAGACGTTGTCGACGTCCTCATCCCTTGAGTTTTGGATAACAACTCGACCCAGTAGTCAGCTTCCTGTTTACTTTGACAGACAACAACTCGTTTGTCGATCATGGGCGCGCTTATTTCGAAGGCGTTCTTTAACGTTTCTGTGTCCTCTAGCCGAGTGACTTGCAGACCAGAAAGAAACAGTTTTCCCTGATTGGATAAAAATTAATAAAATATATGTGTATACTGATTAAGAACAAACCTCGTATATAAATGCGCTCAATCTATGGCTGACAGAAAGTATGACTAAAGTGGCGGGAAAGAGGACAAAATATCTGTCGTGATGTTGAGTACCTACTGCTACGCTACCCATATAAATAATTTCGCCTAATGTGGTCAAATTTGGCCCTTCCCACCCTCTTACTGGACCAGTTAATACTTGTAATTCTAATTCCTTTTGCCTTCTAGTAGCTAAACAAGTTGTCTAAAATAATCAATTTAATTTTGAAAAAAGTCTCATTGTATTTTAAGTCAATATTTACCGCTATATCCTTATAAATACTGACAGACCTTTGAGTATCACCCCGATCAGAATGACACTCTTCTATATGCCTTTCCAGTTCTTGCAGCATTCCAGAGTATCTTTCCAATCTTCTAAAAGGTTTGCTTAGCAAAGTGGTGAGGACTAGAATACCAGGACTAGCGGCGCCTTTTGATTCCATAAATTTCGTCAATTCATCTCTAAAGTAAACTATTTTTAGAATTGCTGGTGATTTTAAGTTCAAGAATTTCTTGTGATTAATTGTTCACTTGACTGGGGAGTTTTAATTTAATGCCAAAACGTAAATATTTTTTTAAAAATACAAATAGGAAATTAGGTCAAATATGAGCTGGAGAAATTCTTGTTTTTTTTTTAGGGAAATTATGTGGGTATAATTTCATGCACTCTAGTGCAGTGAATAATGGAGTGTTGAATAAAATATCAGCCATATTGATGTTTACAATGCAGAATACTACTTTCCTAGAAGTTTCACGTTTATATAAACTATTTTGAAATTTCCATGATCAAATTTACAACATATATATTAAGTTATAAATAGATCATTTATTATGTAAACACAGTGTTATATTTCACATTAGATTTTGGTCAAACTAAAAATTCCTACTTGTATTTATCCAAAATCACAACTGCTCTGGGATGTAACGAGCAGTAAGTCTGATGAACCGACTTTACTTTGGGTGCCAAATTTAGGAACAATTTGCCCACTAGTTGATCAGTGCCAGGTTTAGAGTACTCTTGTTCCACCAGTGTAAGTAACTGCTGATGGGTATCCAGGATTTCGTTAATGTTACCAGTGAGTTGTTTGAATTCATCTTGGGTCAATCTTGAAAGATTAATAATTGTAACATAAATTGAAATTACACAAAAATATATTGTACTTACAAGTTGCTTTTTTCCAAAGGTTGCAAATAATTCGTTACTAGTCCGCCCAATTCCTGTATATGAGCCTTTTCCGAGTCAATGAGATCTTTTAAAACTACATTTTTGTATTCGTTTTCTTGCTGTAAAACTGGTTTAGGTATATCTGTGCATTCTTTAACGTAATTACTAGGGAACCAGCCTGTTTTTCCGTTAAGGGTTCCCTCCCACCAGCCGTCATCTTTTTGGGATACAGTTATAACGTCGCCCTTTTTGAAACATAACTGAAACACATTGATTTTTCGTTTAGAACCCACACATTCCATTGAAACTTGGCCACATTTATTTTTATTTAACAAGAATAATTTTTCGATAAGTCTATTGCTAGTCGAAGCTTATCAATTTGTTTATACAATAAATTTCAAAATTTTTAACATTCAAATGACACTATAATAGTTATTAACCTATTTAGAATTTATGAGCTAGTAATTATTTAAATTGATTGTTTTTTTCTCAAATGATGTTTTGTTTTTGGTGTCATGGTTTGGTTTAATTTTCATCTTTATGTTTCTTATGAAACTGCATAATAAATGTTTGAGATTAGTTTAATGTCTTCCCAACAACTTGCAGATATAGTATAATAAAATGGCTTAAAATAAATCAAACAACGTATCTTATAATTGAAACATCAATTTTTCCCATTTCAAATGGTTTTAATATCCAAAACCAATTTAAATTTTACAGCCAAGAAGCACTTTCATAAAAACCGTTCACAGCTATAAAATGGGAAATTTCAATTTAACGAGTTTACAGTAATTTTAAGCATGGCATAGAATTTCCAATAAAACTTTCAGCACCTCTCAAGTAGATCAACGAAAATAAACATACAGATCAGTTAAAACCTAATTTTTTTATATATAATTTCGATTGATTCTAGGAAAATAATGCATATCATTAATAAAGTTTGACAAAACTATTTTAATCAAGAAAATCAAGGACAGTCATTATAACTATTTTCGTCCTACGCATGTTTACTTTATCCAAAAATATGTTTAAAATAAAAACGGATACAAAGTGCTTGCAGAGAATCCGGTGCCTCAGATAATTTGGAAATTACTTATTTATAAATGTGGACATGTTTAAGAGGCCAATAAAATTCCACCAAATAGTAACACGTGTTTGAAAAAAGTCAAAAGTATTGAATTTAATTGAAAAATATTCTTACTCTATAAATCTAATTTTATTTTTCAAGCGGTGTTAGAGCGTAAATAACAAACTAACACTTTTAACAAGCAATATTATTTATAGTTTTACCTACAATTATTAGAGATGCAAAAATAGACGATTCCCAATAAACGACACCACATGTTCCATTACTAGCTACACACATAATTAGAATTATGGCAAATGCAAGTTTTATTAGGTGCCGGTTATTAATTTAATAACTAAATTAATTTCGAACAGTATGGTTTACCCGAGGGTTTACCAAAATATTTGGGATTTATACTGTAAAATTTGATTTTATAATCTGTATGCTGTATGTATTCTTTTTTTCACATCAAAATCCAAGTCTTATGATCTCATAGAGGTGATAGATTTTAAGAAGACGTTGCATAGAAATTATAAAAGTAGTGGTTCTCTGGATGACTGTATTCGTAGGGAATGCACAAATTTATACACTCGATCCAGATCCGTTTACTTGAAAAATATTGAGTCTACAATTCAAAGCAACCCAAACGAATTTTGGAAATTTGCTAGAAATAAATATAGAACAAATTCCTTACCAAATAATAGGCGTTATGGCGACGTCAGATATTGAACCTCCGCAATTATTCGCTAATCTATCATCGTAATGTAAACCAATCGCTATAAAATCAAGACAATTTTCAAGTAGAGTACAAAAGTTTCTTTCAAAAGGTATCATTGAAGAAAGTACATCTTCCTGGAGATTGCAAACACAAGTTCTTGTGACAAAGAACGAAAATCATAAAAAGAGAATGATTGTTAACTATTCTCAAACAATCAACAAGTTTACTTATCTTGACGCTTATCCTTTATCTAATATCGAAGGGTTGGTAAGAGAAGTCTCAAAATTTGACTTTTTTAGCACTATTGACCTAGAAAGTGCGTATCACCAGTTCGCTATAAGAGATGATGAAAAACAGTTTACTGATTTTTAAGTTGATGGAAACCTGTACCAGTTTAATCGTATCCCTTTTGGTGTGACTAACGGCGTAGCTTGTTTTCAAAGAGTCTTAGATACAATAATCAGGCAAGAGAATCTAGAAGGCGTCTACGCATATCTCGATGATATAACAATCTGTGGAAAAAATCAAGAAGAACACGATAAGAATCTATCAACTTTTCTGATAGCTGGTAAAAAGTACAACCTAACTATAAATAAAAGTAAACGTTCGTTTAACAAATAGACAATTAAACTACTGGGATATCTTATAGGAAACAGAACACCTAAACCTGATCCTGCAAGACTTGAACCTCTACAGAATCTGCCAGTACCACCTGAAAATGCTTTACTTCAAAGAGCTGTGGGCATGTTCGTTTTATAGAATTGTTAGTACCAGAAACTTTCCAATGCAAGAGCCTGCTATCACCGATTTTCACAATTTGAAAACCGAGATGAAAACTAAAGTAGCAAAATCCGCTGTCACTGCCATTGAAGAAAACATTCCATTTGTGGTGGAAACAGACGCCTCCGAACATTCAATAGCAGCAATTCAAACGCCAGTCTGGACGACCAGTTGCGTTTTTCTCAAAAACTCTATCCTATAGTGAACAAAACCACTAAGCAGTTGAAAAAGAAGCACTAGCAATTGTAGAAGCTCTGACGTCACTTTCTTATAGGAAGGCATTTCAAGTTGATTACAGATCAAAGATCTGTCTCATTCATGTTCGACACAAAGCATAGTAAAATAAAAAAATGGAAAAATTCAACGCTGGAGACTCGCACTTTTATGCTATTCATATGACATAGTCTACCGTTCAGGAAATGAGAATATTGTCAACTGAGAATAATTGTACGAGTTACATGATACACTTTGCCATCCTGGAATAACTGGAATGTTTCAGTGGATTCGATCTTCAAATTTACCTACCTAGTGTCCTTAGTCCATACACGATGTACGAAAAATGACCGCAGCCTGCATTATTTGTAGGGAGCTCAAGCTGACGTTCAGTAAAAATCAAGGAATACTAATAAAATCAATCAGACCATTTGAAAAGCTCAACATGGATTTTAAAGGTCCTCTTCCAACATCCTCAACAAATCGTTACCTATCAACAATTAATTGTAGATGAATTCTCAAGATTCCCTTTTACTTACGCCTGCCTTGATATGAATGCAGAGACTTTCTATTTTCAATATTTGGAATGCCTTCGTACATACTAATACATTCTGATCAAGGAAGCTCTTCCATGTCAAAAGAAGTGAAGGAATATCTTGTTGGTATAGTATATTAATGGCAGAGAAAGAGTGAATTGTGCCAAGTGTCAAACCAGGGTATTTGTTAATAATAGTAACAACGGTTTTTTACGCAAAGGCCATGTCTTAGAAATAACAAAATAACATTAATTAACTCGCAGAGTCTTCCTTCAAAGTTGAATGAGATTGATAATTTTATATTAAACACAAATCCCCTTTTAGTCTGCTTAACGGAAACTAGGGTTACTGAGGATTTTAATGATTTTGAGTTGGGAATTGTAGGATATGATGTTATAAGAATGAATAGTGAAAACAGGCACACTAGCGGTATTGCTGTATATTTTAGAAACGGTCTAAAGATTAGGAGTGTTGATAGATTGCATAGGCAGAAAAATTACTGGTTTCTTGCAGTTCAGTTAAATATATGGGATAAGAATTATTTGCTGGCTGTATTATATCATTCACTTACTGCAAGTGACGCAGAGTTCTTGAGTTTTTTTGAGCAATGGTGTAAAGGGATAATGATGGGTGGTACTGATTATGGGGGATTTCATTATTAATTCGTTGACAGGTAAGTCAACTTATACCTATATCAGATAAGCTTTAAATAGTACATTAAAATACAAGTTTCATAAGACGTCATTTTATCGCACGAGCCCTATATTAGAAAACTCGCACACAGATAGACAGAACATCCCATTGATAAAATAGCTTTGTTTTGGTTGACTACATGTTTATGGGCCACGGGGGGGGGGGGGGGGGGGGAGCTGTGAAAGCGGCTAGGAGTAGAGATTCAAATGATTCCGCTAACTCCGCCCCCACTTTATTATCGCATACTTGGCAACTCTGAAAATGAAACCAGAATCAGTGCTACAAAAGTGTATTCTTATGCTTATATTTTACATGATTTTAGAAAAAGATGCGGATACACTCAGTGCGTACTGATTGACAAATGGAAATGGGCTCTTTCACTAAAATTTAAATACGTAATTTAAGTATAAAATCTCAAAGGAGGGACTATTTTAGGCATATATACCAAAAAAAAAATGTTCTACAAGGTTCAATAAGTTTTTCATAGGCAATCAAAAGTGCCTAAATTCAAACTATTTTAAAACGCGCCGATTTGCCGACGTCACATAAATATTCTTCATTTCGCTTATGTCGTTGCAAGGAGGAAGGGCTCGGCTGTGTTTGCGCTCTGTAAAGATACGTAAAGGTTCGAATGCGCTGTTGTCGGTTGTGACTAAATGTAGTGCAGCGTAAAATAAATAAATAAAACTAAACATAAAAAATTGCATTAAATTGTATTTAAGCATAATTTAAAAAAAAAATGTTATAAAATCTTGAATCTATAACTAATTAATTTAACTACTTTTCATGAGATTTTGCCAACATTTCAGAATTAAATCTATTACAAATTTTCAATGTTGACAATTAGTGGCAACACGGTCAAATTGCGAGCTGCGACGTCATAGAAATAAATTCTGGGTTTTTATTTGGAGGTATTTCTTTGTTTTCTTTTTTCTCAAGAAGGACTTTGAATTTTTCAAAAGTAAAAATACAGAAAATTCTGTTTTTAGTTGCTTTATCCAAATATGCCAATTTCAAAAATTAGTGAAAGAGCCCATTGTCATAAAATACAGGTAGGTCGCATATTGACATGACAATTGAATAGAAGCTGCTGATTGGTGGAAAGGTGGAATTCGAGGTGGAATTTATTTTCTTGCAGCGTTGCTAATTTTCATTGAAAAATAATCGCATTTCACGTGTTAGAGAAAGATACGAAATAACACAAGGATTAATAAATAGTGGGGAAAGATGCGGTTCCTGGGATGTAGTCAACCAATATTATTGTTTACTGTTCTGTCTATCTGTGTTAATAGGTCATTGGACGCAGGACTATATCAAACAGTTGTAACAGCAACGCACCCTTCGGATACTGGAGGGAGTTTAATAGATTTGCTGTTAACCAATCATAAAGAGCATTTTAAGAATGAGGTTTTGGAGACGCCAATGATAAGTGATCATTATATAGTGCAGGTACATTTGCAGCCTACTGGGACATGGAGGGACGACTTATTTATTAACACAAGGGGAAAGATAAATTTTGATGAAATTAATAGGAGATTGCAACTGGTTTGCTAGGATTATAGAAATAATAATCAAAGTATCAAATATTTCAGGAAACATTATTGAATATTTTAAACCAAGTCGCACCAAGAGAAAACAGAGTAATAAAGAAAATATATAGAGAGTGGTTCAACGAAAATATAAGAAAAGCAATTGCGGACAGAGATGAAAAGTTATAAAAAATTTAAAACTACGAAAAGATAGGGAAGAATATAAAAAAAATAGAAACAACGTAGTAAAGGTTATTAAGAAGAAAAAACGAAGTACTACCAAAATAAAATTGAATATTCTAGGAATAATCCAAAACAAATGTGGGAAACATTAAGTTACTTAATAACTGACAGAAATGAGAAATCAATTGATAGGATATACATAAATGATAATATTAGCATATTACCAAAGGATATGGCAGAAAAACTCAATGTGTTCCTTATAGAGAGCGTGAATATCATAGTGAGTAGGATGGGATGTGATAGAGTGGATGGTTCAACTGTGGAAGTTGCGGAGGAAGGAATCGAACGGAATCAGCTGCAACCGTTAGGTACTTTCAAGCTGATTAACATGAAAGAGTTGGAGGATATTCTTTTTTCATTGCCTGATAAGGGAAGTCCGGACGAGATTGCCTCTCAATTTTTGAAGAATACATTTCAGTCAATTAAAGATCCTCTTTTAAATCTTATTAATTCATCATTCTAACGATGCTGTCAGATTCCATCGACACTGAAAGTCTCAACAGTGATTCCAATTCAGAAAGTCAAGGGCTGCCACAGAAAAAATATTGGAAAGGGTGGTTTATGGACAGTTGCTTGATTCTATTATCCATAATAATATCTTGATTGATAATCAATCAGCCTTTAGATAGAAACATAGTTGCGAGTCTGCTATCTAGAATATAATTTATGAATGGAAATAGGATGACAATTATGCGATTGGGATTGTGTTCCTGGACTTGCAACTTTGAGACATTAAATAGGTAGATCCTGATAAATAAATTAAAGCAGTATGGAATAGCGCAGAATGCATTAGAGTGGCTGAAGAATTATCTGGAAAATAGAAAACAGGTTACGAGAATTAAAGGAGAAACGTCTTCAGACCTCTCGAATGATAATGGTGTTCCGCAGGGAAGAACTTTGGGACCCTTGCTGTTCCTTTTGCATATTAATGAAATTGAGGTGGCCATAAAATACTGTTCGGTTCATTTGTTTGCAGATGATACACTCATATATTTTTATTCAAAGGATTTGCAATGTTTGGTTGATAAAATTAATTTGGATATGAACGAAGAATTAAATAAGTGGTTCGATTCAAATTCACATAAGTTAAATAACAGCAAGTAAAAATTTATGTTGATTGGGAATTCCAGATATCAAAATGAATACAGGGCAGGTGATTTTCACATATTTATTGAACAGAATAAAGTCGAATTGGTAGAGCAAATAAAGTATCTGGGCTTTATAGTTGACAGAGCACTCAACTTTAAGGAACATATAATATGTACAATTGGCAAATTAACAAAAAACATTATTTTTTTCTATAGAGTGACCGGGTTTTTGATACAGTGGTCAAGGATGACAGTTTTCAATACTTTGATGTTGCCCCACTTAGTTTATGGTTCAACTGTGCTATATCTGGCGAACAAGAATGAAATCAATAGATTGAAAAAATGGCAAAATAGAGCCATGAGGATAATTTTAGGAGAAAAAAGAGATACATCTATAAAATTAATGTTAGATAAGTTAAATTGGCTCTCTATAGAATTTTTTTTGAAATTTCAGGTGTTGGTGTTTATTTACGAAATAAAAAATGGGCTAGTGCCGAACTATTTGACTGAAAGACTCGTCACTAACAATATAATTCATGAATATCCAACATGAAATAAGGCTAATTTTTATGTTCAAAGGAAAAATAAAAGTTGTTCAGAAAGGGCAGTCCATCTATCATAAGGGGTTAATTGCCATTAATTAATTGGACAATTGCATAAAGAATGTAGGTTGTCTGCAAATTTTCAAAAATAGATTGAAGAGTCACTTGCAGGGTGAATGACATGGTTGACTTTTTTTTCCATATTTTTGTTTTGTAATTTTCTGTTAGCGATTTTTAGGAGTAGGGAGTATACACTTTATTTATTGTTTTTTTTTTTTTTCCTTTGTGGAAAATTAGCAATAATTTAGTTGTACGTAGATTAAGGTCATTAATTATTTGTCAAGTTAATCTTATGATCACTTATGATTAATTTTGTCGATTAAAGCCTTATTTCTGGAGTATTTGCATTACTTCAACTATCAACTAGAGATTTATAGAGGATTAGGTAATTCGGCTTTATTTTGAGCCTGAATATGTTAAGATCAGATTGAAATTAACAAAGTTTTGGGACAAAATGTGCGCTGATATCATTCCGGAAAAAATCAAATTTCCAAAAAACGACATTGAGGAATTTTCTATTCTTTCTTAAGGATAATGTTCGAGGGATTGAATTGAAATACTGCAAATGGATAGAGAAAAAAATTTAATCTTAGGAAAAAAATTAAAATTTTCCTTCTGCTGGCTTACATTGATAAAAATCAAAGACAAAAGGCTTTGAAGCTTTGCAGTTTAAAAACTATTGATGCTGCATTGAAACTATTTCACTAGAAGTTTGTAGAGGATTTATTTGGACTTATTTGAGCCTAATTACATTGAAATTAATAAAGTTGTGAGAGAACATGTGTGTCGATGGCGTTTTGAAAAAAATTAAATTTCCAAAAGACATGAGAAACGTTTTATTTATTCTTTGAGGAAAATATTTGAGAGATTGAATTGAAATTTTTAAAGTAGATTGAAAAAACCTAGAAATTAGCTGATGAATAACAAATAAAAAGTGGAATAAATGAGCACCCAAAATCAAGCCAACTAGGAAGCTTTTCTTTTGAGAAATCATGCATGAATTTGAAAACTGTAGTAAACTTTTATTGATTAGAGAATAATTTGTTTCAGAATCTTAAATAAATTAGGTACTCATTGTCTTAACTTGTCTATTAAGTATTTCAGCTCTTTTTATTCAGAGTTATCATAAGCAAAATGTCAATAAATACCTAGGTACTTATTTTTAGGATATGGTGGGAGTTTGAAGAACCTACTGAAAGTTGTCTTAATAATTATTATTTGAATATGAAGATCGCAAATGTATTAATTCAGGAATCTAATATACTTACTTCTAATCGAGCTTCTAATAGATAAAACTGATAATATAATTAATTTTAGAGCTTGTACTTGTAAAGATTCTTGTAAATATTTTACTCAAAAGACTGACCTATACTCAGGGCAAACTCAAAACAATTTTTTTGGCACTTTTCTACTCACCTCATCATTGTTGCTCCCTTTAAATGTATAGAGTGCCTGCACGACTATAGGTTCTCCAGCCATGTTCTGCCATTAACACCTACCGAACAAAATTCAAAAAATAAAACTCAAAATCCGCATCCAAAAAAAAAGGCACTCTCTTTCACAGGAAAAATCGTCACTGCGAAAATCGGCCGTTATTGGACAGTGGAGAATAATTTCAGAATGCCTCGCTCGACACATTCTTGGCATACGGCACAGGCTTTTTGGACAAAACTGGCTCGGTGCCAGGAATATGCTGAGCTTAGTTGGGGTTTTGAAGGAAATTATAAGAGCGCACGTTTTGGTTAATTATCAAAAGTATTTTTAAAAGTTAAATGCGAAGGTAAAATATGATTAATTATGTTAATTTTATAAGTTTGTATTAATTATAACTATGTTAGCTCGAAAACAATACAATGCTGTATTTGGAAAATAATTATGCTGTTTCCGGGAAAAATAGGCAAATATTCAATAGAGAAAATTTAAAAATAAAAATTTGAGGGCTAATCGATTAATCATACACCAGATAATATTATCTTTGAATAAAATTATTTAATTAATTAATGATAAGCAAACTTTAATAAGAACAAAACTTACTAATGTATAAAGTTTCAAAAACACAACATCTTTAGTCAAACTTAATTAAAAAAAAGCAATTAATTTAAAATTTAAATAACAATAAAATAAAAATAAAAGTTTTTTAAAATTAAAAATAATGACACAAGACACAAATCTCAGCTGATTTCTGACATTTCTACTGGTGGTAATTGCATATATCGCGGATAGGTGGAGACACCAATCCAAACCAAAGTCAGAAAAAGTTTTTTTTTTTTCTGTTCAGAACAAAAATGTATTCAACAATTTGCTGAAATTTGAAGAAGCATTCATCCAAGTAATCCAGCAACCAAAAAATAAATTCGGTTCTTTATAACTTCGAGCCCCAAGATATTTGTTTGAAAATTGGAAGCCCGCCATTCAGTGCTGCAAACAAAAAAAAAAGCTTAGTGATGGGCGTGATGGCGGTTTTTTAGAAGATATGTGAATATCGAATCGATAAATATCGATATTACGCTCTGTCATAGTGGTTATAGGGCCGGTTTCTCAATAGCAAGTCAAGTCACCCATCGGCCATCACCCCCGGGTTAAGCATAACTCCAGGGTAAAGCCTAGTACTCATCAAGGATGATACACTACTGTACTCATAACTGCGAATTGCGGATTTTTTTCTATTGGACAATTTTATTCAAATTTGACAGGTTTAAATATATTCGACCAATACAAACAAAATCCGCAAAATAAAAATCCGCAGATATGAAAAAGAAGCGGAGATTTTGAAAGAATATCGTATCGATACCATCGAATATCGATAAACTATTCTCTACAAATCATACGACTTCTGTCAAACATCTGACACTGACAGTCTGAAATCATCACAAAACACAGAAAGAAAATTTTTATCATCACACACACAAAATTGCGTTTTCGTATTTTGATTTTCCAAAAAAAGAAAAACGAAAAAAATATAATGGACGTTGCGTAACACACATTAGAAATTAAGAAATAAGTGATAAGAAGGTTCAAAATCCATTGTAAAACGAGTGTTATGGGAGTTACTTAAGACCAAAAAACCTTGTAGTGACATTTTTCTTTGTTATAAAATTTTTGGTGAAAACTGAATTATTCATTTTTCTTCTCTAGTCTTTACGTAACAACAAAGTAAATTTGGTCCTATAATGATTTTAGAATACTTATCCAGTTAAAGGTAAGAGCAAAGTAATTTTTTCTTTATGTCTTATTTATTTATTTTATTATTATAGTCAGCTGTTTGATGTTTTGATCAAATAATGCTGGAAGAAACCTCGAACTATCTTTTGCGTTTCAACCTAGTTTTTAAATAACATTTGACATTATTTAATTAACTATTCATGAATCTCATTTGAAATGGTATTTTTTTTTTCTAAAAACTCGTATACATACAGTGTGTTTCACGAATATCGAAACAGAGGCACTGCGTTTTAGGGTATTTAAAGGTCCATTTAAAAAACAAAAACGGTTGCATATTCAAGGGAGAAACTTTTTGACTAATCGGTATTTCGCTAGGGTGCAACCACTGCGTGAGGTGATTTTCACCCCTCTTTTTAAGATAGGGTAGATGGGTCGAGTGGTACCTTGTTTTAAAGGTATTTCGATTCTGGTCACCTCACAACTGCTTATTTTTTTTGAAAATCGAATGATTGGTTCTTAAGATATTCACTGTCAAAGCTGCCATGAGCTAAATAAAAGACAAAGTTCCTACCTTTAAATTAAAACAACATACTGGTATTGATAGAATTTATGTAAAAATTATCAAAAAAAACCATCTTTTTTTGCTGGACCCCCTTATCCATATAAACCTAATTTTTGAAAAAGGCACTATTCCTGAGCAATTCAAAATATCTATGATTACACCAATATTTAAAGCAGATGATAAGACAAAGGTCACTAACTATCGTCCAATAAATATTATAAATAACTTCGCAAAAATTTTTGAAAAGGGCGTTAAGGATAGGGTCATCAATTTTTTACAAATAAACTCAATATTATCAACAAACCAATATGGTTTTTTGAGTGGCTTAAGCTCCTCAAATGCTCTCTACCATCTAACAAAACACATAACGGACAAACTTGACAGTAATGAAAAATGTATAGCAGTGTTCTTGGATCTGGCGAAAGCATTTGACACGGTTCCTCATCAATTACTTCTGGAAATTCTAGAAGTGAATGGGATTAGAGGTATCGCGCTGGACGTCTTCAAAAGTTACCTGAATCAAAGAGTGCAATATGTGAAAATAATGGATACCTTAAGTGATCCATTGAACATTAAAATAGGGGTGCCGCAGGAAACAGTGTTGGGCCCTCTGTTGGGCCCAATACTATTTTTAATATACATAAATACACTAACTAAGCTTAAACTAAAAGATGGTACAATAATTTCGTATGCAGACGATACAGCCATAATATTTTCCGCAAAATCCTGGGAGGAAGTAAAACAGAGTGTAAGTAATGGACTTAATACAGTACAGAACTGGCTGAACAATTTCAAATTAACTTTAAATTATAAAAAAACTAATTACATAGCCTTTTCGATAACCATGGCAAACCGCCCTCATTTTGATAGTATTCATGTTGAGAGTTCGAATAAGTTTATTGAGGAGGTTCCTCAGACTAAATATTTGGGTATAAGAATTGACAGGCACCTGAAGTGGGACCGGCATGTACTCAAACTGACTACAAATATCAGAAAATTACTGAAAAAATTTTATATCTTGAGGAATATCTTAAATAAAAAGTTACTAATATCGGTATATAGAGCTATTGTAGAATCGTTGTTGAGATATGGTATTGTTGTATGGGGCGGCATGTATAGGAGTGCCTTATATCCATTATGTGTTGTTCAAAATTATATACTCAAAGTAATTTCAAAAAAAAATAGGCTCTACCCCACAAGGATGTGGTATTCTAAGGAGGTTTTGGATGTGCGATCTATGTATGTAATGGAGGTGAGCCTTTTTGTATTCAAGAATAAGGAAATGAAAAGAATTGTGAGTCATGAATACCAGACAAGAAATAAGACTAATGACTTTATCCAAATACCGAAGAGTAATACCAACCTGAATATGAAATCTTTAAACTATTTTGCACCGAAAATTTATAACCTCATACCAGTTGAATTTAGAGACTCTACTAAAATTAGTATATTCAAAAAAAAATGTAGATCATATATTGTTGAAAAAAATTAATTATTCAAGAAGCTTTTTTAAGCTTTAATTTCTAGCGATGGGTGTTGCGAGCGTAGGTGGGACATTGCTTCTGGCATTAATGATGGATTGAATGTATGTAATATAGACATAGGATGTAGAATTTAGGTATCTTTTGTAGTATTTAAAAATTGTTGTGGATATCGAATTCTGTATTATTTCTGTGGCTGCATATACGGGTGTTCAGTCATCTAGATGCTAAGCAGCAATATTATTTGCTTCTCGATGTATTATCGGGGTATTTACTATACTTGTTTGCTAGATCAAATAACTAGCATGAATTTCCATAGTTACCCTAAGTTTACAATTGCAATAGTTACTATTATGTAAATACCTACCACTTGATCCATCGGCCATAGTCCCAATCTTCTAAAAAACAGGGGTGAAAGTCACCCCATCCAGGGGGTGCACCCTAGCGAAATACCGATGGGGTCAAAATGTTTCCCTCTTGAATACAAAAATGATGTGTCCAAGCGTTTTTTTTAAATACCCTAAAACACCTCTGTTCCGATGTTCGTGAAACACCCTGTATTTACTGTTGTGTTTGATCCAGTGTTTGATTTTGATACATAACTAATTTTTTTTTTTGCTCAATTTTAACAAGAATTTTAATTAGGTATTTTATCGAGGGGTTTTTCTCCTAACAAAATTTGTACACCGATTAACAGTACTAACTGAGATATTGCCATGTATTAACAGATATTTCTGGTACCAACACAAGTTTCTCCAATAGAAAAGGACTTCGAATTTTGTGTATCTGAATGTGTCTTAAACAATTTATTTAGTGTTGTTGTGTCTATTTACAGGTCACCCACTGGTAATGTGCAATTATTTTTACAAAAATTGGCAGAATTATTCCATGAGTTGTATAAGCCTAAAATATCAATTATAGTTGGCGGTGATTTTAATTTCAATTTTCAATGTCAGAATGATGAAAATGTTTTATTTTTGCTTGGCCTATTTGAGAGCTATGGCTTGGTTCCTCATGTCAATCAAAATACAAGAGTTACCCCTAATAATGTGCCTCAGTTGGATAATATTTTTTCGAACATCAATATTGACCTTTTACTTCTATCAAGTGTGCATGTATCTGACTTGTCTGACCATTATGGACAGGTGCTGGATTTTGGGATGACCAAGGTTGAGTCCCTGCCAAAGAATATTAAGAGGAGAACATTTAGCAATGAAAACTTAGTTTATTTCTCTAATTATTTGTCAAATGAGGATTGGGATGAGGTTTATCAGTCAAATAACGTTGAAGAAAAATACTCAGCATACTTCAATATTTTCAATTACCATTTTAATATTGCATTTCCGATGTCTTCCACAAAAGTAAAAAATAATAAACCATCTTGGATAAATTTTGAAATTCGAAATTACTCTAATTACATTAAAGACCTATATGTCTGGTATAAATGCACAAACTGTAGGGGTCATTATGATTATACAAAGAGGAAAGAAAGAAATATGTACAGGGTGTCACGAAAGGTTTGTTAAAAACTTCTAGGGATGGTAGATCTCGTAAAAATAAAACTTTTTTCTCAATAAACATGTGTCCGGAAATGCTTCGTTTTCCAGATATACAGGGTGGCCCAAATTTGAGCCTCATCATTGGGATCTCGGCAACCGTAAGAGATACGGGGTCGGTTAAATTATGGCAAAGTTGCGCAATTTTATGACGAATAGAATAAATACCGTTTTGAAACCAGAAAGATTCCGAATACTTCCGGAGATATTCGGAAAAAACCCAAATTTTGTAAAATCGTTTTTATTTTTTCCCGGGGTTATTTGAAAAGCAATTTTAAAATAAATGTCACTTCATCATTGTCACTTTTTCTCCTTTAGAAGATGGTGCTACTAAATTTAAAATTCGACGTTTCGTTTTCAGGCGGCCATCCTCAACTTCCTTTTTTTAAATACGGACCTGGATTTTTTATTTGCGATTTTGTCATCTTTGCGCATCCTAAAACCGATACTGTTTATAATTTTTCAATAACACAGGAAAAAAAGCAGGTCCGTATTTAAAAAAAAAATAATGATGATTTCAGAGGCACGAAACATTGGATTTTAAATTTAATACCGCCATCTTGTGGAGAAGAAAAAGTGACAATGGCAAGGTGAAATTAGTTTTCCACAATCAAACATGAATTTCTCGTTTTTCTTAAATTTTTTCCTGATTTCATTTAAAAACATTTTGAAAAACTAATTTCACATTCCCATTGTCAGTTTCTCTTCTTTACAAGATGGCAGTATAAAATTTGAAATCCGACGTTTTTCAAATCCGGACCTGCTTTTTTACAGTGTTATTGAAAAATTATAAACAGTATCGGTTTTAGGATGCCCAAAGATGACAAAATCGCAAATAAAAAATCTAGGTTCGTATTTAAAAAACGTAAGTTAAGGATGGCCGCCTGAAGACGAAACGTCGAATTTCAAATTTAGTATCACCATCTTCTAAAGGGGAAGAAGTGACAATGATGAAGTGACATTTATTTTAAAATTGCTTTTCAAATAAGCCCGGGGAAAAAAAAAACGATTTTTCAAAATTTCAAAAAAATATCTCCGGAAGTATTCGGAATCTTTCTAGTTTCAAAACGGTATTCCATTGATCATAAAATTGCGCAATTTTGCCATAATTTAACCGACCCCGTATCTCTTACGGTTACCGAGATCCCAATGATGATGCTCAAATTTGGGCCACCCTGTATATCTGGAAAACGAAGCATTTCCGGACACATGTTTATCAAGAAAAAAGTTTTATTTTTACGAGATCTACCATCCCTAGAAGTTTGTAACAAACCTTTCGTGACACCCTGTATAAGTTTTTATCTGATTATCATAAGTGAATCAATGACAACAGAATAGCAAACTCAAAAAATAAAGTCTGCGTGGGCAATGAGCCACTTTCACATGCCGGGAATATGGCAAATTATGATATTTTTTGACGCAGATACTTCAATGCAAC